TAAGTTGAATAATATATTACAGAACTCAATAAATCAAATTTAAAATATTAAGAATGTTGCAGAGAAAGAGATGAATATCTTAAAAGTTATAGAGAATACTCATAAGATTATGGCATCATCAAAATGTAATTATAAGGAAAGGATACTGAAATTCTATCATTAAAAGAAAGAATTTAAAATATGGAAAATAACCATCAATAAGAATTAACTCAATATTCATAAACTAATGAATATTGGAAGAGATCATTATTGGATACATAAATCAGAGAAATAACATAGTAATTTAATTAAGAAAGAAACTAATCTGATTTGAAAATTAAAAATTTAGAAAATAAGAATGTTGAATTAGAAAATAAATGTGTATTATTAGCTTAAGAAATGGAAAGAATACGTTTCAAAGATTTGGAATAAAATAAAATAATAAATAAAAATTTATAAAAGGAAAATAATGAATTAAAACTATAGATTGAAGAATTGATGTAATTTATGTCAAGATATGAAGAGTAAATCAATTAATCATAATAAAGAGAAAATTCAGAAGAATAAGATAGAATGAGAATTGTAGTATTGAGTTCTGAGATTGAAAGATTACACAATGTAATATAAGAATAAGAATAAAAGAGTCAATCTTATTATTCATAAATTTAGAGATTGGAACAATTTGAAATGTAATGTAAATTTTAATAAGAACAATAACAATCATATAATCAATTAAAATAATAATTGTAATAAGAAATACTAAAGAATCAGAGTTCTTAATAAAACTTTGAATATTAATAATAGGAATGGACAGAGATAAATTAAGAATTGTAAGATAAATGTGCTATGTTAACAACTGAGCTTGAAAGATTAAATTTGGTAATGAAAAATACTGATACATATAGTAGAGATTATCAATATGAAAATGAAAGACTATAGAATTAAATAATGGATTAGACATCAATAATTGAACAAAAATGTAATCAAATATTATAATTGGAAATTGAAATAAGTAATTATTAATAGGAGTCAATGTTACTAAATAGTGATAATGATAATCTTAATATGAAAATAACTTAATTAGAGGAGGAAATAGAAGAAATTAAAGAATAAACTTCTTAATAATAAATTAAAAGATCATAAGAACTTAAGTAATAGATTGATCATTATGAAAATGAGTTGAATAGAACAACATACAATTATAATTAAATAACTCAAGATAAAGAAGAATTGTAGAAAGAATTAGAGAAAATAAATAGAGAATATAAAGTTTTAGCTTTTAATTGTCAATAAAAAGATAGTTAAATCAAAGACTTACATGATTAAATGTAATTAAGAGAGGAGAAACATTAAATTGAAATAATGGAACAAAAAAAACATGGAGAATATATGAGAAAGTCAGTTTTAGATTAATAAATAAGAGATTTGACTTTAAAGTTTAATAATGATAAATAAACACTTGAGATTTAGATTCGTTAATTGCAGCAATAAAAATAATAGGTAGATTTATTGAATTCATAGTAATAATAAAAACTTTAAGAATTTCAATACATGATAGAGGATTAGTTAGAGATTTAAAAATAAAAATTGTCAGCTAGTGAGAAAGAAAGAATTAATTTGTTATAGGAAATAAAAGATTATTAAATGGAATTACAAATGGTTTCAAATGAGAGTTAGAAAATGAAAGAAGATTTTATAAAAGAAAGAATGAAAATAGTAGTTTATGCAACTGAAATAGATAGATTATGGAATGTAATTGATGATTTGAAAAATTAAACTAAATAGTTTGAAGAATCTGTAGAATTAGAAAATGAGAAAATATAATAATTGACATTGATAAATTAATAATATCATAATACAATATATTAAATGGAATAGGAGAAGAAAAATTATTAAAGAGAAAATAGTTTGAATGAATAGACTTTAGAAAATAAATTGATAATAATGACAAATGAATTGGATAGAACTAAAAATTAATTATTTGAAGAGTAGAGAAAAGGATATGAATAAGAAATAAAGTAGAAATAATTATTGTAGGAAATAGAAGAATTATATTAATAAATGGAATAATATTAATCAGAAATAACAATAATGTAAAAGAATGGTTTAGAAGTTGGAGATTTAGAGACTAAATTTTAAGCAGAAAGAATGAATTGGGAGACACAAAAATATTAATTAACAAATTAAATTTAGGATTATGAATAGAAAATACTTGTATTAAGTTAAGAAATAAAAAGATTATTTACAATAGGAGATGAAAGACTTCATGAGATTGAATAATTAAGATTCAAATTTAGAGATGCTTAATTATCAGAAAATTATGAATAATTGAAGACAGCATATGATATATTAGAATAATAAGTATTGGAATTAGAATAGAATAATTTAAAATTGAAATCTCATACTTAAACTTTAGAAAAGTAAATTAAATTATTAGAATTATCATTATAAGATAAGTCAAAAGAAGTAGATGATATATATAATTTAATGAATAAATAAAGAAGATAAAGTGAATCTACTAATAAAGAGGCAGAAAATAATAGAAAAACATAATAGTAATTATAATAAGCAATTTCAACATTGGAATTACAAAATCAATAATTAAAAGAGTAGTTGTAAACAATAAGCAATGAGAATAAAAGCCTGTAATAATTAATTAATTAATAATAGTTAATAATAAATCTAATACATGTAAAATAGTCTTAATGAGAGAGATTAAATGATTTAGAAAAAAAGCAATGAATTGAGTGAGAAGATTAAAGAGATAGATTTTTTAAAGGTGAAATATGAGTAGAAAATGAATAATTCCACAATTCAAACTACTTTAATAAGAGTAATATAATATTTTATAGATATAGAATTCATCTTTGACTAGATAGACTATAAAGAGTGAATAGGAGAATTTAATTAGTGAATAAATAATAAAACCCAAGAATTCTTGTAATTTAAGCATTTTAAGGAGTTCAAGACAAGTGATGTAATAAATAAATGCAGACTTAAATAATTAGTAGGAATGATTGAGTTTCACTTTATTTTAATTATTAAAAATAATGTCTCAGCATGTCTAAGCTTCTATATAATACTCTTTTCCTAAAGCTAAAAGATTCAGAAGATTGAATACTCCTTGTTCAACAGACTATTATGAACCTAATTATTTTCGTAGTACTAGAGCTTCTGGATTCGGATATGGGAATAAGTTTGATTTTACAAAAGCTTAACCCTATACTGAAACTTACTATGATCCAACAAGTTCCTTTTAAAATAACAAAGGTGCATCTTTTGGATTAAGTAGAAACATGGTCAAAAACAGATCTTATTTACAGTATAATAATGTTCCAGGTCCAGGATCCTACAATTAGAGTCCACATAAAACTATATGTTATTCTATGGGATAAAGAGTTAGTGGATATCATCATACTACAGAAATGCCAGGTCCCGGTTCATATGATCCTAATATTTAAAAACATAGAAGCATTTCAATTAATAAAGGTCCTGATAGATTCTCAACTGAATCCACCTTTTTCCCTGGACCTGGAGAATACAATGCTAAACTTTTATAAACTAAAACTAAATATCGATTTGGTAGTGCTAAACGAAAATGTTTTATTGATGATGCAGTTAGAACAGCTTTGAAAAAAGGAGGTATTTTATATCTTATAATATTTAACTAGTTCCTGGACCAGGAAACTATACTTCTATTACATAGTTTGTACAATTAGATAAATCAAGAACTAGACCATCTACTGCAAAACATTGAATTTGAATATACTTTTTACATAAAACTTTCCTTAAAATGATTTAAATACTTTTTGCTACACAAACAGGAAATTCTGAATTTTATGCAGAAGAAGTTGGAAGACATTTAAATAATGCAATTGTTTCTTCTATTGAAGACTTTGATTTCTTAACTCTTCCTGAATAAAAACGTGTCATTTTCATTATATCAACAACAGGAGATGGAGACATGACCAATGATATTAATAAATTTTGGCAATTTCTTTTAATCAAAGATTTACCAAAAGAATCTCTGATTAAACTTGAATTTACTGTTTTTGGACTTGGAGATTCCTCTTATCCTAAATTTAATTATGCTGCAAGAAAATTAAGAAGTCGACTTTTGCAACTATCTGCCAAAGAATTTATACCCAGTGCATTTGGTGATGAATAACACCCTTGTGGAATTGATACAGAATTTGTTATCTGGTTTCAAAATCTCTTGAAAAAATGTTAAACTTAAACCATTATTTCATAATATATAAAAATTTAGCAACTTGATAATTATTAATTATAAAACATTGTTGATAAACTTGATTTTATATTTGTCAATAAAAAGAGATTGAGTGCTGAATAACATACAAAGGAAACCTTTTAATTTAATTTTCAATGTAATTAAATGTTTCAATGTGGTGATATTTTCAGTATAAAACCAAGAAATCAAAATAAGTTGGTTTCATAATTTTTACAATTATAAAAATTAGATGGGAACAAATGGGTAAAACTTGAAGAATAAAAATAAAATTAAAAATCGAAAATAATACCAAAAACTATTTCTATACAAAGATTATTTTCTGAATTGTATGATAGTGATTTATTTAGTGTAGTTTGGATATTACCTCTCCTCCAAATAGATATTTCATAAAACTAATGAGCCAATATGCAGAAATAGATATCCATAAGTAAAAATTAACTGAAATGTGTGCATAAACACCAGAAGGTTTAGAAGAATATTATAGTTATGTATATAGAGAAAAGAGAAATGTTTATGAAGTTTTATATGATTTCTAACCTTGTGTAATTCCATTAGAATTATTAATAGAATCCTTAAAGTTAATAAGAGAAAGGCAATATTCAATAAGTTCTGCTTATGATGGATAAAAAATAAGTATAACAGTTGCTTTAGTTTGTTATACAACAGGTAAGAACAGATTAATAAAAGGATTTTGTTCAAATTATCTATAAAACTTATAAGCAGATGAATAGATAGAAGGGAGAATAATAAAAGGAACTATTACATTTCCTTAATAGATAGATATTCCAGTAATAATGGTAGGACCAGGTACAGGAGTGGCTCCATTTATAGGATTTATAGAAGAAAGATAAAAATAAGGAGCTAATAATAAAGATAAATCAATTTTATTTTTTGGATCATGTTATGAAAAGAAAGAATTCTATTATGAGAAATTCTTATAAGAATCTCCAATTACATTGTTTACAGCATTTAGTAGGGATTAATAGAAAAAGATTTATGTTTAACATAGAATATTAGAAAATAGAGATTTAATTAATAAAGTAGTTAAAGATAATCTTAATAATGTGATGTAAAAATATTAAGTCATGTTTTTAGGATTATTGTAACAGGAACATCGAAAAAAATGCCTACATAAGTTGAGTTAGTTTTTAAAGAATGTTTAGGTGAATAGATAATATAAGAGTTAAAAAAGAAAAAATAATATTTAGTTGAGTGTTGGTGAAACAGGTTTATTATATATAAAATATTATCACAAAACCTCAGGATTCTTATTTAATGGTTGTATTAATTCATTTCTTGGTTTAAAATAGTCAATAATATGATTTGTTGCTCCAATTATCATTACACTTATCCAGACTACAAAAATGTAAGCACAACACATAGTAAACAGTTCAATTTCTCTACATTTAGATCTGGCTGAAAAGAAATGTTATTTAATTCCATAAAGCATAGAAATGACATCAAATATAATTACACCTCCAAAAAAGACAAATGTATTAATTGTAATGCAAACAGCTCCAAATTTTCTAGTACATGTATCTAATAAATTGCATGCACTCAAGAATTATATTATGAATATGATTCCATATCTAAATTATTTATTTGATTCTCTTACACAATCAAATTTCCATATAGGATAAAATGCAAAAATCCAATTCCTTCAGAATCATTACATTAGAAATCTTCTGTTACAATCTTATCAGCACAAATAGAAAAGACAAGAAAAATAAAATTATTCAAATGTACTAAAGAATTAATGTCTAATCTCTATGCCATTTCCATTTTATATATATTTATATAATCATAGTTTTGCATATTTCATCAATTTTTCCTTGTAATAGTAGTATAGATTTTGACTTACAAAAACTTCATAATCTAACAGTATTAATAGTTCCTACTCTAATGTATTTAACTCTTATATTGCAACTCCTCCAACTCTTGCATAATAATCGTTCTTATAATAGTCATCATCATTGTATTTTATACTTATAAGAATGCAAGCCAACAGAAATCTATCGTTATATTGATATTCAACCTATGAACACAAAAACTATTTATAACTACATCCTAGTTCTTCTCTTACACTCTATCTATATATATCAATGCCAATATGAAACACTCATTGCTGCAATAACAGTACATCTTGATACGCTCGATATATTTGTATATTGTTATCGATGGTTTTTTATTAGTGTGGAAGGCTGTTTAAATTGGACTTTCGATTATGTCTGTCTCTTTCACTATTTCATCTAAAACCTATGCTATTGCATAAATAATATTATCTTCTAGGGATTCTACTATTCCTGCTTTCATAACCACATCCATTTTTCCCAAAAGATATATATGAGTATATTTTATATATATTATTTAATATAAAATTATGATATGATATTAAAACTTTAATACAAACAGATATTTCTTTTAAAATTTATCACTTATTCTATTATTTAGAACTTCCTTATTATTTTTTGAATAACATATCCTCTAATCTTCTTTCATATCAAATTATCTATATTTAACTGATCAATTTATTTCTTCTTTTTTTTATTAATTAATCCTAATTTTATTTTTAATTTATCAAGAATATCAAATTATTCATCTTCACTACTTAAACTTTTTTCTTATATATCTTTTATTTTATTATCTTTAACTAAACTTTCAAATTCTTATTATCATTACTCAAATATTTTAATTCTTATACAATATTTAAATATATTATAATTTTATTTTTTCGTTGCCCTTTCATACTTTTGTAATTCTATTTCTAAGATTGAATTTTTTAAAATATACAACAGGATAAGTCTTAGTTAAACTTAAAAAATAAAAAAATTGCTTCTAAAAATTAGACTAGTATTGAAAATATATTGAAAAGTTTTAGTTCAGTAACAGAGATTGCATTTACAAGAAATAATATATTTTTTATTTTAAATTAAAGTTTTGATGGGTTGTGCTTGTGGAAAAGAAAAGAAAACCAAAAATGAGTTGAATAATGAGTTTGTCCCTAGCCTAATTTTAAAGTCTGATAACAAGATTTCAGGAATAAGTGAATTAAATTTTTTTGATATTGTATCAAAAAATGTTCATGGTCCTTAGATAAAAAATTTATAGAGTTTATCTATATGATGATGTCTATTTATTTATTATATTTGTTTATATTATACATAAATTTATTTTGATAATATTTTTTTTCCAATTTCGATATAATATTTTACAATTATATTAAAAGGAAGTTTTATAAATCAATTGATTTTTAATTGTAACAATCCTTAAAATGGATTCTTGAAATTATAATAAACCGAATGATAATGTAACAAATTATGCTTAATTTCTAAATCCTAGTTTTCTAATTCCATTAATTAAAGTTAATCTTTAATTGGCATTATATCATCATTCATTATGAATGCATCAAAGGTTGATAGTTTATTTTATTTTTTTTATGAATGTATACTTGATTCAGAATTTAAAAAAAAATCAACTTATACACTCTAATGACTTCCAAAAGAATGTTACATACTACTTGATTATTGACTATTGAAAGAAGATGCATTTGAATCAGCCTAAAAAGTGATTGTATTAAGATGTCTACAACTCATCTTATCCAAAGATCTACAATAATTAATATAAAATATACAATCTTATATGTTAAACACTATCATATTTATTTTATTTCTAATTATTATTTTTTTTATTTTGACTCGTTTTTGAATTAACAAATTAAGGATTTGACCAATCAAAAATAACATATAATTTATGATGTATTTTCAATTAGAAAATGGACTTCAATTTCTAATAATTTGGAATTTGTTAATGATTCAATTCTGTCACTTAAGTCATAAAACTATATTTTTTGTTTTGTCATTACTTTTATAATTATTATGGGCAGCCATCACAAATTTATTATGGTGTTAATTCACATTTTAATTATCCAATTCTCTCTAAACGATCGTTCTCAAATTTTTCATAATCAGACCAAGGTAATTTCTGTTTAAAAAGGTATATTAAAACATAACCTAGAGATTCTAAATCATCTTTTCTTGATTAATCTTAACCTCTATGAGCTGTTATACAAGCATATCTACTTGTTCCTATAAATGGAATTTTTGCTTTAGTTTATTTCTTACTTTTTAAAGAATCTTTAGAAATTCCAAAATCAATTAAAAAAATCTTATCAGAATGACTTTTGCCCAAAATGTTTTCTGGTTTTAAATCTCTATGAATTATATTCCTAAAATGATAAACTTACAGCTAATACTTTTTATGAATATTTTCTAATATTTCTATCATTTATTAAGCAATATTGAAAATGCATTCAAGTGAAAATTTCTTATGTTTTTTCAAGAAATAAATTAAATCAAATCCAAGCATTTTTATTATCATTATTTAAAGTCCATTATGTCTGCCGTGCCAAAGTAATTAAGGTATTTATGGTATTCCTCTTAATTTCTTCAAAATTTCTATCTATTAATTATTTTTCAACTAACCTCTCTTTCTAAACTTAAGTAATTTGACATTTCCTATTTTTCAACTTTAATTGCTACTTTCATTCCATTTTCTATATTCCTTCCTATATAAACTTTGCCAAAAGAACCCTATGAAAGAAGCTTCTTAACTTTATATATTTCTCCTATCAAATCACCTTATTACAAATCGTGCATTATGCTGATTTTAAATAATTTATATTATTATATTATAAAGTGTCCTTTTGATGAAATTATTTTAATAAATAATTACATTAAAATGATGGTTTAAAATAATATCAACTAAAAGACTTTTCTTATATTTTTTATCGTACAATAGTTGTAATATATCAATACTATGATTTATTACAGCATGGAAATAAAATATAGAAAATTACTTTTTTATATAATCGTTCAGTATATATATAATTATATATTAATTAAATAAAATAAGCCCTTATTCAGTATGAGAAATGAACATTATATCATATAGTAATATTTATTATATCTATCGAACTTTATAATTTAAAAATAAATTTGTAAAAATATCCAAATAATTAATTTAAGTACATATATTAAAATTAATAGAAAATTAGTTTATTTATAATAAGATAGAGTATTATACTCAAAATATACCTAAAGGTAATAAATTATTTAAATTGAAATCCTCATCAAAATTAAAGGCTCATTCTAATGATAGACTATACGCATAACCTTGTAAAGCTCGAATTAAAATTTCTATTTTGGGATGAAGAGTAAAACCCACTATAATAAAGGAGAACACAAGAAATTGACTATTTTTCTGTATTAATCCATAATTTATCTGCACCATTTTTTTTATGATAAATGGATTTTATCTTAATGTAAAAGATAGTACATCCAGTAAGTCAAATAAAATAATTTGTGGCATACGTGTCTATTTTCTCAGGTTAATTTAAGATAACTATAATTCTAACTTATTGGTAGAATTTAGTATTTTTTATTAAATCAATTGCTTCTATTTGAAAAAATTTTATGCCTTTAAAAATATTTAGTAATGATGAGACCAATATTATTGACTAAAAATTATGTTTATATTAAATTCATATCAATAATGATATATTTTGATTGAAACTAGCTACTAAAAAAATTATTTTTATGGAGCCAAATATAATAAGCCTTCTCTTCTCTAATTTAATTGAAAGAAAATCCACTTCAAAAAGTGAATGATTCCATTTGACTTTTTGCAAGTATAGTAGTTATTCATTGTAGATTGGTGAGACTTAAAAAAAATCATCAAAATTTTTGAACTTTTCTACAATTCTTGGAGTTCTTTTTTGAATTTCTTATCTTTAAATAGGATATAAATTGCTCAATAATTATAATAAATTATTTTTATTTGACAAAACCTAAATTCAATAAAAAATCATCAATAGTATTTTACGAATTCCTTTTTATCCAATAAGATTAAAGAAGTAAGATATGATAAATAATGTTTTAATTAATATTCAATTTTTTCCTTTGAATTATTCTAGAATATATAATTTTTTGATTACAATCTTCACTTTGCATTTAGGAACCATTTTAAGAAGCCATTTTGGACATTCTAGATGTAATAAAATTGGAGCTTGTATTTTTAAAATCTTTTTCAATTCTTTATAATTCTTATACTTATTTTCCTTCTAACTCTTTTTTTAAAATGGTGTATTTTTAAATTAATCTATTATGTACTAAAATAATACTTTTCTTCTTCTGTTTTTTTAATTTTTCTTTATTCTTCTTAAGCATTTTCAATTCTTTAATTTAAAACATTAGTTTCATTAGACTATTTGATCTTTTATTGATTGAGAAGATTTTTGATTTTATTGTTCCTCAAAAAAGTCCATTTATCTTGTTCTTCTTTTTAAAGCTATGCTATTCTAGATTATATTTTATGTGCTTCCAAATATCTAAATAAAAATTAAATTTAATACTCTTCTTATCTTGCCAATTATTCTTCAGTTTTTTTAAGACTTAATAATTCCGCAGAATCTTTGGGAGTTTATGGTATAGATCCTTCTAAATCTTATAGGAATTATTGCATTTCATCTTCTTATCTTTATTGTAGTTCATTTTTTAACTTCTACGCATCTTATTCAAACTCTTCTATTTTTTAATCCCAAAAGATATTGAAATTTTACATTTCTTCTTAGTGTGATTTTGTAAGTTCATATTTCTATAATAGAAAATATATGTTAACTTCTTATTCATGCCTGTCTTTGATATCTAATTTAGTTTTTGATTCATATTTAATTTTGAGATCTTTCAATCTTTATTTTGCGCAATCAGCTTCCAAATATTTTCCTTATTTCTCACAAGCTTTTTAATGATCATAAAGTATTTTCCTACCAATAATTCATATTATCGTACATATATTCTTCAAGATTTTCAGTTTCTGGAGGAAGCGTATTCATTTTGGCAGTAGATGGTCGAACTCCACGATAATTATTCATTTTGGAAGAATAAAAATTTTATTTAATGTTTTTATTAAATAATGAAAATTGATATATTTAAATAAAATAATATTAATAATGTAAAAGTTTAATGGAGTTCGTTCATTGGTGAATCTGAGTAAATTCAGAGCAAGTGATCATCATTTGAAAGCTAGTCATCACTAACCAAACAGACCTGATTTAATGACTAGTGTTGATATTGATAAATATAGAGTTTTTATTAACAAGCATCCAGAAGCAAGAGAGAGATTTTTTGCTACATACACTTGGTTACCAAAAATTACACCGTATTTAATAGTTAAATTACTTTAATAGATTATACAATTCAACAATTGCCAAATTCATTGCAACTTCATTCTCTAATGTTTAAGCTGAAGCTGTTTCTGATGTGTATTTCCCACCAAAGGTATTGAATAAATAGAATTAATTAATGTAGCTTCATGAAAATGGCATCAACATTTATACTTCATATAGATTTGGAAAAACCTTTAGATATGGCAGATCCTTAGAAATTGTTGGAGGAATCTTCTTTTTAACTACTAAATATCCATTGTATTATGCTTTGGTTGCCTTATTTGGTTATACAGTTGGATTTAATGTATTAACTAATAATCAATTCTAGGCCTACTTCTATGAACTTACAAGAAGAACAGTTATCAGAATGGATTTATTACCTCATACTCATTAAATAGCAGTCTAGAAAGTTGGTGCTTTTGGATAAGTGATCACTAAATTACATTAAATATCCGATTTAGAACATGTCAATTTTTCAGAATAAGAAACTAAAGGTAATAATATATATAATCAATCTAGAAAATTACTTTTGGAATCTAAATTATCATAAATTAGATAGAAATCTTATATTCAAAGACAAATCCACTGGAGAATATCTCACTTTTGATAGCGAAGGATGGTGGGATAGATAAGCCTTAGAGCATGAATTGCTTAATTGATTATGATCAACGATATAACAATTCAATAAAAATATTTCAATATCTCCAACTCGTATTCTAACATCCATTATCAATTTTTAAACCTTAAATAATTGTAATCTCTCTATTTTCTTCTTGCATTTTTTAAATTAGAGACTTACTTTTAAAAAATAAATCATAGAATTAAATTTTAAAATTATAATTAAGATTTTAACCATTACAGCCTTTGAAAACCCTATCGCTCATTTTGTTATTTAATCATCATTTAAGAAAAAACTTCATTATTCTTTATTTCTATTCTATTTTTAAAAAATTTTTTATTTTAATGAGAAATCAGCTGAACTTGATGCAAAAATTGTATAACACACGTAAGACATCTGGTTCTTAAGAATTTAGAGCAAAAAAAACTTTTTTAATCTTTTAGTTATATCATTTTAAACTTAAAAAATCAATGGTATACTAAATGATTTTTATATCACTAATTTAATTTGATGTCTTTCTAAAATCTTTATAAATCTTTCAAATCTTAAACCTAAAATCAAAAAACTCAAAAAAAACCATTTTTATTGTTAAGAAAACTATATACAGCTGATTTTATTTTTAACGTCCATTTAATTATTCTATTTTATCAAATTTATAATTATCAAGTTTCCAAATAAAATACAAATATCTTTGTTTTCTAAAGTATCTAATTAAATGCCAAAGCAATATACACTAAGCTTAGTATATTTTATTCTTATCTTAATTGCTAAAACATTCCTAATTTATTAGAATATCTATTAAAGCTTATTTTAGGTGATACTGCATTTTATGTGAATATATTAGAACTAACTTTAATTGTAAAATTATTATTTTATGATTAAAATTTGCAATGACTATTTTATTTATATAAAAAAGGGCTTTATCTATCCTAATAATTAAAAAAATATTTACATAAAATAAATTGTTTATTCTTTAATAAACAACTATTTTAAGGAATTCTTTCATATATTTTGGCATTCTAAAATCAATATTGATAAATTTTTCTCCTATATCTATGCTTTCAATTAATTTTATGGTTGGATTTATTCAAACATCTTTATTTACCATTATGTTTTATTCAAAGTTGAAAAAATTGCTAGACTAAAGTAAATTTTTCTTTGAAAATATGAAAGTATGAATGTACTCATCATAAACTTCTTTAATATAAATGATAATTTTTTATGAAATTGGTCTCAATTTATTTATAGTATTTATCTATTTGCTTATTAAAATTTTCATATAAATTTTGTTATTTTTTTTGGAGTTTGCTTATTCAAAATATATTTAAAAAGGGGTTTAAGTGCATTTTAAATTAATATCCCAAATTTCTAATATCTCTGTCAAATAGCAATAACAATTTAAATAATTTAATTATAAAATATTTTGGAAATCTCTTAAACTTGATTAGTTATTTATTAAAATGACTATCTATTGATAAATGATCTTAGAGGCAAGCAATATAATGATATAAGACTTTAAATATTAATATGTATACACAGTGATATAAAATCTTTATTAATTATTTAAATTAAATGACTGAAGAGCAAGGCAAATAACGATTTGCGTATACGGCACCAAAATAAATTTTGGAAGAAGCTGCATAAATTGGCGAAGATAATTAAACAAGAAAGTAAAATTTAGACAAAGTTGAAGAAAAGTTCAAGTACAAGCAAAAGAACCGCTAGTTGAGTCCAGAAAGGAAAGATGTTTTCAATGATTAAGGAGGTGAGAATGGGAGAACATATGCAGAAATCATGATCTAATAGGATTTAGAGAATTCGAGATCTGAAATTGAAAATAAAATAAAAAAGACCGAGACATTAAATAAGGAGGAAAAAAAATTAGTAAAATAATAAGTGAAGGTGGAATAAAATGTTGCTTAATAAATAAAATAGGAAAGATCAGAATGGGAATAAGAAAGCAAAGATGTTTCTAAAAAGCCTTAAAAATGGGAAACCCCATCAAGAGGTATTTTTAAAAAGTTCATAAATATTTAGATGGTCCTTAATCATCAGCAAGAGCATCGAGATGGGATAATACAAATAAATTATAAGCAACTCCAGGTAGGGCAGGAACAGTATTTGGAGAGACTCCAACTCCAGGACATATGGAAATAGGAGACACACCATATAAATATGGAGAAACACCAACTCCAAATCGTTCTTATATAAAAGCTAGATGGGGAGAGAGAACACCATTAGGTGGATAATCTGGATTTGGAGGAGGAATGACACCACATACACCAGGAACTGTTACGAGAACACCTATGACACCAGGATAATTAGGAAATATGACACCTGATAGAGTATACTAATTTAGATTAGAAAAAGAAATGGAAGAAAGAAATAAATATATGACAGATGAAGAATTGAATAGTATATTACCAGGTCCTAAAGATGGTTATGAAGTAATCATACTTTTATAAAATAGATATTAAAAGCNGCATTTTAAATTAATATCCCAAATTTCTAATATCTCTGTCAAATAGCAATAACAATTTAAATAATTTAATTATAAAATATTTTGGAAATCTCTTAAACTTGATTAGTTATTTATTAAAATGACTATCTATTGATAAATGATCTTAGAGGCAAGCAATATAATGATATAAGACTTTAAATATTAATATGTATACACAGTGATATAAAATCTTTATTAATTATTTAAATTAAATGACTGAAGAGCAAGGCAAATAACGATTTGCGTATACGGCACCAAAATAAATTTTGGAAGAAGCTGCATAAATTGGCGAAGATAATTAAACAAGAAAGTAAAATTTAGACAAAGTTGAAGAAAAGTTCAAGTACAAGCAAAAGAACCGCTAGTTGAGTCCAGAAAGGAAAGATGTTTTCAATGATTAAGGAGGTGAGAATGGGAGAACATATGCAGAAATCATGATCTAATAGGATTTAGAGAATTCGAGATCTGAAATTGAAAATAAAATAAAAAAGACCGAGACATTAAATAAGGAGGAAAAAAAATTAGTAAAATAATAAGTGAAGGTGGAATAAAATGTTGCTTAATAAATAAAATAGGAAAGATCAGAATGGGAATAAGAAAGCAAAGATGTTTCTAAAAAGCCTTAAAAATGGGAAACCCCATCAAGAGGTATTTTTAAAAAGTTCATAAATATTTAGATGGTCCTTAATCATCAGCAAGAGCATCGAGATGGGATAATACAAATAAATTATAAGCAACTCCAGGTAGGGCAGGAACAGTATTTGGAGAGACTCCAACTCCAGGACATATGGAAATAGGAGACACACCATATAAATATGGAGAAACACCAACTCCAAATCGTTCTTATATAAAAGCTAGATGGGGAGAGAGAACACCATTAGGTGGATAATCTGGATTTGGAGGAGGAATGACACCACATACACCAGGAACTGTTACGAGAACACCTATGACACCAGGATAATTAGGAAATATGACACCTGATAGAGTATACTAATTTAGATTAGAAAAAGAAATGGAAGAAAGAAATAAATATATGACAGATGAAGAATTGAATAGTATATTACCAGGTCCTAAAGATGGTTATGAAGTAATCATACTTTTATAAAATAGATATTAAAAGCCCCTGAAAATTATAAACCATTGAAATCATCATTAAAGAAATTACTAAATTCTAAAAATAGTATTGAATCTCCAGTTCAATATTAAATTCCAGAATCAATTCGTATTGAAGTTTCAGCTACACCATCACATCCTACTATTGGATAATTACCAGCAATTAAACCAGAAGAATATAATTTATTCTCTGCTTTACTTTAACCAATAAATGAAGATGAATTAACACCCGAATAAGCAAAAGAAAGAAAAATCATGGCTTTGTTATTAAAAATTAAGAATGGAACTCCTTAAATGAGAAAATCTGCATTAAGATAAATAACTTAAAGTGCTAGAGAATTTGGACCTGCTCCATTATTCAATTAGATTTTACCATTATTAATGTCTCCAACTTTAGAAGATCAAGAGAGACATTTATTGGTTAAAGTTATTGATAGAGTGTTATTTAAGTTAGATGATTTGGTTAGACCATATGTACATAAAATATTAGTTGTAATCTAACCATTGTTAATTCATGAAGATTACTATGCAAGAGTTGAAGCAAGAGAAATTATATCTAATTTAGCTAAAGCAGCTGGTTTAGCTACTATGATAACTACCATGAGACCTGATATTGATCATAATGATGATTACGTAAGAAATACTACTGCTAGAGCATTTGCTATTGTAGCTTCAGCCTTAGGTATACCAGCATTATTACCATTCTTAAAAGCTGTTTGTTAAAGTAGAAAAAGCTGGTAGGCTAGACATACTGGTATTAAAATAGTACAATAAATCAGTATTTTTATGGGTTGTGCTATTTTACCTCATCTTAAATCACTTGTCGAAATTATACAACATGGATTAAAAGATGAATAATAAAAAGTAAAAACAATTACAGCTTTAGCATTAGCTGCTTTGGCGGAAGCCTCTTTTCCATATGGTATTGAAGCATTTGATAATGTGCTTATTCCTTTGTGGGAAGGTATAAAAACACATAAGGGTAAAGGATTAGCAGCATTTTTAAAAGCGATAGGATTCATCATTCCATTAATGGATGTAGAACATGCAACAGAGTATGTTAAAGCAATAGTTCCTATATTGAAAAATTAATTTGAAATATAGGAAGAAGAAATGAAGAAAATTGTATTAATGGTAATAAAATAATGCATATAATGTGCAGGTATAGAGGCTGTTTATGTAAGAGATCAAATAATGCCTGAATTTTTCAAATATTATTGGAGTAAAAGAACAGCAACAGATAGAAGAAATTATAGATAGATGGTAGAAACTACATGTGAAATAGCTGCTAAAGTAGGAGCAGCAGAAATTTTAGAAAGAATAGTAGGAGATTTAAAAGACGAAAATGAATCATTCAGAAAAATGGTAGTAGAAACAATAGAAAAATTTATAAATTAACTTGGAGTTTCAGATATTGATTAAAAATTAGAAAATAGATTAATGGATGGTGTATTATGGGCATTCAATGAATAATAGAGTGAAGATACATAAACAATGCTTAGTGGATTTGGATCTATTATTAATGCATTTGGTAGTAGATCAAAACCATATTTCAGTTAATTAGGTGGTGTTTTATAATGGAGATTATCAAATAAATCTCCAAGAGTTAGATAATAAGCAGCTGATTTAATTGGTAAAATAGCCGTTTGTATGAAAAATTGTTAAGAAGAAGCTAGATTAGGAAGATTAGGCTAATTATTATTTGAATGTTTAGGTGAAGAATATCCAGAAGTTTTAGGATCTATATTAGGAGGATTAAAGGCAATAGTAAATGTAATAGGAATGAATAAAATGTCACCTCCTATTAAAGATTTATTACCAAGATTAACACCAATTTTAAAAAATAGACATGAAAAAGTTTAAGAAAATTGTATTGATTTAGTTGGTCGAATAGCAGATAGAGGACCAGAACATGTTTCTCCAAAAGAATGGATTAGAATATGTTTTGATCTATTAGATTTATTAAAAGCACATAAAAAAGGTATAAGAAGAGCTACTATCAATACATTTGGTTATATAGCAAAAGCTATTGGACCTTAAGATGTTTTATCTACTCTTTTAAATAATCTAAAAGTATAAGAAAGATAACTTCGTGTTTGTACAACAGTAGCAATTGCAATAGTAGCAGAAACATGTGGTCCATTTACTGTATTACCTGCTTTAATGAATGAATATAGAGTTAGAGAACTCAATGTTTAAAATGGTGTTTTAAAATCATTATCTTTTATGTTTGAATACATAGGTCCAACAGCATATTCATATATTAATTCAGTTATACCATTATTAATTGATGCTTTGACTGATAGAGATCTTGTTCATAGATAAACTGCTTCATCTGCTGTCAAACATTTAGCTCTTGGTGTCTAATGTTTAGGATGTGAAGAATAACTTATGCATTTACTTAACCATGTTTGGCCAAATATTTTTGAAACTTCACCACATGTTATTAATGCCGTTATGGAAGCTATTGAAGGTATGAGAGTAAGTCTTGGACCTGGAAATATTTTACTTTATGCTTTATAAGGACTTTATCATCCTGCAAGAAGAGTATAATTTATTATTTATTATTTTTAGGTGAGATTAATATATTGGAGAATTTACAATATGATTTATGTTGGAAGTTCTGATGCTTGTGTTGCATTCTATCCAACTTTTCCTAATGATCAGCACAATTCTTATGAAAAATACGAATTAAATTTAACATTATGAGTGTTCAAAATTATAATATTTTAAATCATATATTAATCATTGTATTAATACTTATTCTTATGCTTTACTTGTAAATATTATCATCAAAAAATTAACAATTCCTTTCAATCAATATTAATTTAAATTATAGTAATGTTTTATGAAAAAAATCATTTCAGATTAACTATTAAGTTAAAATTTTAGACTTTTCTTTTTTTATTATTTTATTTATAATTTAAATTAAAATGATTTAATATCACATCATAAGAGTTGATTATACTTAAATTTATTTGTAATTTTAATTTTGTATGTTCTGTAATTTGACAAATGAGGTAACATTATTTATAAGAAAATTTTCATAATTAATTAATTATTTATTTTTAATTAATTTATAATAAAAGAGAAAAGAAAAAAACTTTTATATATATGATAAGAATCAATTTATTCAATACAGAAATCTATTTTATAGATTTAAATAAATATTATGGTAATTTTATAAGAAATAAACAATAGAGTTGATTTACTTTTAGAAATAGTAAATTTAATTGAAATTCTTTAAATTATTTTTCGTAAATTTTTTTTTATTAAGAACTATGTTTAATTGGAAAAAAAATTATTATTATTTATTATTTTGCAACTGTGTCATATTTTTCATACCCTCAATAAAACCTTAAGTATAATATCAGTGAGTTTTTATTACTTTATGTATGTTTTATGAAATTATATAATAGTTCAGAGAGTATTTATTTAATTGTTTTATTTTTAATAATTAGCTAAAAGCCTAATCCTAATCAGTTTTATTAACATAATGATTTAACTTTTTTGATCAAATAATACTATATATATCATTTATTTATTATTTATGTTTTTGAATTATAGATTAAATAATGCAAAATGATAGATAATTAAAAATGCCGAATATTTTGAGTTTCATATTGTAGGATAAGTTATTTTTCCCTAGTACAAATGAGATAATTGGTTATAAAATCAAAAATCTTTTTTCTATCAGCTTTTAAACAGAATGATTATCAAGATAAATTACAAATAATATTTAATTGCATTAATGACTGTTTATGAAATATAAATTTAGCAATAATAGAAAGTGGAAAATATTTACCCCAATTTAGATTCAAATTAAAAAAGAAAATAAAGTAAAATCTTCTTTGAATACTTTTGTTAATAATTATTGAGAAAATATAACTATATCCGATTATGGAGTAAATTTGTAAATTTTATTCTAGAGAATAGGTCTTAAATTAAGACACATACAATTAAGGAGGTTATCTAAAGAGGAATTAGATATTTAATAAAAGTTTTAATCCTGATTAGATGCAAAAGAAGATTGAAATTTTTTATTAATTTTTGTTAAAAATTTCTTTCTTCATCACTGAACATTTTGAATTTTCAATAAAGGTATTTAAATTTAACTATTCAAATTCTTAATAAAATGACTTTCTAATGATAAATAATATTTATTATTCTCTATTATTTTAATAAATATTGAAATTTGATTAAATTAATAGAGAAATTTCATTCATGCTCATCTATGAAGGCAACTTGTCTAATATTTTTTTTTTCTTAAGTGAATTTCATTCAGCAGTTCTTCATAATCAATTGAATGATAGTTTTGAACACTGAGCTTTGTACATTGAATAATCATAAATTCAGAACAACAAACAAAATTAATAAATGGAAAAAAAAGTTGTGAAGATGAGATTTCGTAAATCTACCTTAAGTTAGATGATATGATTGTTTATATATCTCTTAATTTGTAGATAATTTAATTTTAGTCACCATCTTTAGGTCTGCCTTAATATCAAAAATTTTCCTTGAATTTCTAGAGTATTATGAAAAGTAATAGAGTAAGTAAAATTGCACGTTATTGACTAAAACAGATGGCAATGAATAATTGCTGAAACAATAAGAGAAAAAAATTAGCTAGGAAAGGGAAGCAGTATTTAGAAATGAGTTAATAACTGATGAAAAATTTTATTAAGCGCAAAGTATTAAAAATGCTATGATTAGAATAATTTAATGGTCATATTTGTTTATAAATAAAGATAAGGAAGAAAAGTAGTGTTTTGATATTTCTCAAGTAAGAAACTTTATAATTTGATAATGTAATTTTCTTAGTTGATGTTTTTAAAAAAGAAAAAAACAAAGTTTTTTTATAAAGAAATAAGAGAAAATCTTAACCATTAATAATAAACTCAGACTATAATTAAGATAAAAATAGAACAATGTTAAAAAAATATATATATAGAAATCAATTAAAAATTGATTTAATTATCTTATTGAAGTTGACCAATATTGATAAACAAATTAATCTTAACAAATCTTGATTATATTTAATTTTATGATTTAAATAAAAGAACATCTACCCCAGGAATGGTTTGATTTTATCGAATAAATCAAAATTTTGAAACCTATTGAGGAAGAAACCGTAAAATAATTTGTAAAAGTACGAGTCAGCCAATTTCCAACTGATTAATAAATGTAGGAATACTATGAAGAAGTTTTTTCAAAGTATTGACATCTTCCTACTATATTTAGATCTACAAATGATTAGAGTAGGAAGAAATGGCATCAATAAGACAAGATTTTGCTTATTTGGTGCATGACAAAATATTTAATGTATTAAAATAGATCTGACCTTATTCCTGTAATAGTTTTTTATATTATTAGAATGATAGAGATTGGGAGTATATATCAAAAATACTATGTGTAGATAAGTAATTAGCTGAATTAAAATGGATATCCCTACTTCATTCTAATCTAAAAATCTCACCTTGGACCAAAGAAGAAGATCAGATTTTGACAGATATTGCTAGGTAAGATTTTTAAATATTTTAGTTAATACTACTCAAAAAATAATTGGACAGAACTAACTATTAAGTTTAACTAATTGTCTTCGTCTTAGAGATATCCTAAATAGATAAGAGAGAGATGGAATAATGTGTTAAATCCAAATATTTCAAAGTAAACCTGGACGAAAGAGGAGAAAATTAAATTAATTTAACTCATTTTAGATTATGGTAAAAAATGGTCTAAAATACAGAATGAAATGGATGGTAGAAGTGAAAATTAAATCAAAAATCAATATAATGGAATCATAAGAAACTTAAAACGATTTAATGTAATTTTATTTATTAACAAAAAAACAGGTTTAAGAATGTGAAGAAAATTCCTTACTTAAAGCTATTGTTGACAATCCTGATTAAAAGTTAAGCTTGACCATAACTTAATTCATGTCTGATTTCTTGGCCAAGAATGAAGCATCCAAAAGAATTGATACACCATTAGTAAATACTTTAGGTGAAGCTTAAAGTTTAAAAAAACCTAAAGTAGAATTACTATCCCTTGATTGCGGAATAAGTGCTACAAGTAATATCATTTTTATTATTTAGATTTTTAATAAACTGAAAAAACAAAATTAAGTTAGGATTCTTAATACTAAATGGCTCAAAATGCAAATTTATTTCATCAATAAAATAACAATCTCCCTCGACCTCAAATATAAACATAATAAATGTATTATGGAAACTAATATTGTATGTCTACTTTCCCTAATACTTATATGAATTATGTTCCAACTAATTAGATTTATCCAAATTATCATTAATATCCCATTAATTTAGGATTTTAACAATAATTATAACACTATCCAAGATATTTCTGATTAGGTTGAAGCATAAGTGAGCAAAATATTGATATATATATTGAATTATACATCATTGTTAAAATTTATATTTTAATTTTTAAATATCGACTGCAACTAAGATCAGTAGAATTTGCATTTGCCAACAATTTTATTTATTCAAATAACTTCAAAAGTAAAAAAAGAAATAATTGTAAAATACTTTTAATTAAATTTCGAGAATTATTATAATAATTAAATTATAAACTGTTGATTATTTAATTAAATAAAATAATTTTATTTACATTATTAAATTTATTCAAAGTTAATTATGTATATATAGTAATCTCTAATTAAACTTCAATCTAATTAAACAAGAGCTAATAGATTATGAAACTGAAATATTTTTCAAGTTTTTTATAGATTAATTTAAATAAATTCAACATGAAATATTTTCATAGTATCTAAGATCATATTTTTACAATAATACTTGAATTATTTTCTTAATATATATTTTTAACAATCTGATGATAGTTTTATGGACTTCTAGGAAGAACAAAAATAATGTTTTTAAAATTAATATATTTTAATAAATTTAAATTTTTTAACAGGTTAATAATTTATGAACAAGGATTGATGATTAAATAAAATAATCTGTAATGATTTAATTTTAAAAGCATTAAGATCAATAGTGGAGGTTTAATATATAATTATATATAATAAAACTTAGATAAAATTAAAATTGGGCCTAAGAGATTTATATAGAATAAACATAAAAAAATTCAAATAGAATGATGATTAAAATAGTTGAATAGATCTTAGATAATTTAGAAAGCAAATGGTTTGATTCTATTAATGCTGGAATGTAATTGTTCTGGAGTGATATTGGCTAAGTTAGCAATTAATTTGATATTGATGGCACCTTAATTGAGATATATGATATCAGTGGCTATTTTTACTGCAATAGCATTTTAAAGAGATTTAGGTAATTTTTAAATGAGAGGCTACATTTATCTTAATAAGGTAACACAAACAGTAGTAGCTTGTGAGTCTATTTTGAGTTTTTAACAGAGAGTTGTTATTAAAGTTGAATGTTGTTATTGAATACATTTAGCTAAATATTGGATTTTTTCATCAGTTTGAGGTAGTTTGTATTATAATTCTTTCATAGCATAGTAGATAAGAGCTTAAGCATGGATATGTGAATTAGGTATGGATAAAACATTTAAAATGGAGATTGATTTTTTTTCAACTTGATCATCAAGATTCATTTTGAAAACAATATCTGAGATTAATTCGTACAGGTCTTAATTTCTTTTAGGAGTATTGCATTCTTCATGAAATTTAGGGACAGGAGGTCTTTTAATCATATTTATTAAATTAATTGAGTAAATATTCAGTTTTAACAATCAGTTTATTTGAGTGTATTTATTAAAATAAATATGTATGATAAATATAATATATTTAATATGATGTCATAAAAACACATTCCAAACAATAACAACACCATCTTATGCTCCTGAAATAACCTATTTTCCATCTGGGGCAAATTAAACAGTATTGACTGGTCCAGAATGTCCAAATCCTTCAGAGATTTGTTATCCAGTTTAAAGATCCCATAATTTAACTGAACAATTAGATCCACCAGTAACAGCATATTTAAAGTTAGGAGAAAGACAAATGGAATAACATTCATCACCTATAATAATATAAATAATAATAAATACCTTTTTTAGGATTAGCACTAGTTTCAAATTATCTTTAGACTTCACTTTAATTAAGATCCCAAAGTGATATCTTTCTATCTTAACCAGTACTGAATACAACAGTTGTATTTGGAACAGTATCAAAAGAATTGATTCCTCCCATTCTTTATATATGAGCACTAATTCTTTTTTCAGTTTTTAAGTCCCATTATAATAGAGCTCTATCACGTGATGCTGTTAATAATTATGTTTCATTAGCAATCAATTTAACTTTAGTTACTTTATGAGTATGTTCTTTAAGATGTGATACCATTTCTCTAGTTCTCATTTCCCAAACTCTAACATCACCTTCACCTCCACCACTACAAAAGAATTTTAAATTATTCGAGATACAAAGTGTAGTTACTCCTGTTTTATGAGCATTATCAATCTACCAAATTTATTAACCATTATCAGATCTAAACATTCTAATTTTACCATCTGCCCATCCACTTAATAATACTTCATCTCTGTAAACTAAACTTAAAGGTACAACATTGACATTTGCTTAACATTTAGCAATTACATTATATTCACTAATATCCCAAATTCTTATTGTTCCATCTTCTGATGCAGATGCAAATCTATCTGAAACTCCTGGAGGATAACTCATATCTAATATTGATCCTGTATGATTCTCACTATGTAATCCCTTCTAAAAACTATTTGAATTAAATCGAAATATCAATCCTCTATCTGTTGAAATTAAGCTCTCTAAACCATCTACTCTCACTGTAATTGAATTCACTGCTCCACCTAAATCAGTTTTATGTAATTAGTTGATCTAATTTAATCTAATTATATACCTTATTTTCTTCTGTAATTTAATACATTGCCAATGTACCATTACCTGCTCCAACTAAAAATCTTGTAAAATCTACAAATCTTATAGACATTACTCCTAATGCTGCAACTACTATCTAATGACTAAAAAATCTATGAAATATTTAAATATTAATATAGTACTTATTTTTCATTTGAAATACACAAAAGTCTCCTGAGGTTGTTCCCAATAAGAGATACTCTTCTCTATTTTTTGAGAACTCCATACAAATATAATCTCTAACCAAGTTTCCAGTATTCACTATTTCTTTTTCAAATACTCCTAATTTAGGATCCAATTTCCACAAACATATTTATTTATTCCCTGAAGTTGCAAACTAATATTTAGGTGTATCTCTTCCTTTAATATCTTTAGCAAATCCTCCCCATCTTGCTATAGTAGTTGGTTCAGGTGTATGATTAACTGATCCTACTATATATCCAGTCTAACAATCCCAAATGAATATCCTTTTATCCATTGGATTACCTGAAGAAAAAAGCAGTCTATCATCATGACTAAAATCTACGCATACTACTTCATAATCATGCTCTGATAATCTATATTTTTGAATTTTTCTATGATAATCCCAAATAATAACATCAGAATTGTCTCCCTTCTATCCTGATGCAATCAATTCACCTCTATTAGAAACTGCTAAACATGTGATTTAATCATCATGTCCTTATAAAAATGATTATTTATGAGCATCTCTTAAATCTGTGATTATTAGAGAAGCTCCAGCTATACTAATGAATTCTACTCCATTTGGATGTAAAATCACACTTCGATGTATCTTATATTTATATTCAATCTTACTCTCCCACTATATCCAATTGCATGTTCCATCTCTAGAATGTCTGCAGATGGTTGTTTCATTTTTTAATATTATTATTATTATTATTTAATCTCATTCTTCTAAATCAATATTCAATTTATTTCTACAACCTTACTTTTTTCCATTATCCAAATATATCCAACCATCCAAAATCATAACACTTTTATTATAATGCGGGAATTTTATTTTTACATTATATATGTTCAAGAATCAGTTATTATAATTAGTTAATCCAATTATTTTTAAATATTTTTGTTAACTTGTCACTTCAAACCCATTCTTTTATTAATCGTCTTTCATTTCAATCATTAACAAAAGTTGTTCTGAAAATAATTTAAAATATAAATTAAAATCTATGACAAATTACAATCAAACTTTCTATTCTATTCTATTTATTAGATAAATATTTATGTTAGAATAAAAATAAATATGACTCAATTAAACTGTTTCTAATATAGGTACTGCTGATAAATTATTTAATTTTTTCATCTAAAATTTTAAAAAATCTATAGTTGGATAGTTAAATTAGTAGTTATATTGTTACATAAATTTAATATAAAACCTATTAAGTAATTAATCAAAAATACAAAATAAATATTATCAAAGTTCATAATATATTTCTAGAGTCTCTTTTAATAAGTCTTATTTAAAATCATAAACAGGATGTTAAATGAAAGACAATTTTGGTTATTAATTTTAAACTTTTTAAGGAAAATTTTTAGTTTACTTACTTCTAGAAGACAACTATATAGATCATTAAAGTGTTTTAAAATTAAACTTCATATTTTTAATGTTGCTTTCTAATTCCTTGTGACTTTTATATATTTTCTAATTAGTAATAATAATTTTTGTACCCCTAAATAGCTTCACAGATTATATTAAAAAGTTCATCCATATTTGAGAATAATTATATATTATGAATAAATAAAAATTAGCATAAGAAAAACAATATAGAGACCAGGCAAAATACAGAACTCTATTCAGTGTAAGCAATTTAGATATATTCAGTAAGATCCTATAAATCCATTTAGTGAAAAAGATGTAGAAAAGATGAAGTTTTAGTATGCACAAGTTTTGAAGGAATAAGTAAAGGATTATATTTATTCATCAGATTTTAGATTCTAAAAGATATAAAGAATAGCAAAAAACAATAGATAGAGAAGAAACTTAAAAGCAAATTTAATACGAAAGCCCTTTTGGAAGGTATTATATTAATTAAGATTAGAGATCGATTAATCCATCTTTAAAAACTCAACAGAGAACTCTTAAAACCAATTTAAGATATTGATGATTTTGTAATGAAAAAGAACTAAACAGATATTTCAAGACCAAAAACTATTTTAAAGAATTAATCGACTGAAAGAAGTAATTAACAATATTCAAATGAAAACTCCTTAGAATAAGTACCATAATATAATTTTGACTCTCCTAATTAATAAGAAAATAGGGAACAAATATAAAATAGAAATCATAAATAAATAATTCCTACTTAATAAACTTAAAGAATGAGAGAATACTAATCTACATAATCTTTAGGTTTACCAGAACCTATTTTATAAAACAACAGTAATCTATTAAAAAACAACAGCAAAAATATAAATTATCCTATATAATTACCACCAAAAACTCCAGGAATAGTTTATGATAAATAAAATAATCCTGTATTATCTGATTATGTGAGTGTTTATGATTAACAATTTAGTAGATTACATAAATCAGAAAAAAGTGATTTTATGAAAGAATTAAATTAACTTAGATCTTAATTTTATGGTTAATAAAAACCTTAAGTTTAACCTTTTAGATAAATAGCTAATTAATAATAATCTCCTCCTAAATTTACAACTGATGTTGGAATTTAAGATGATTAATATAGATTAGAATAGATGGAAAGAGAAAAGTAAGAAGAATATATGAGATAATAAGAATATCTGCGTTAATTAGAAGAATAAAAGAGAAGAGAACAAGAAGAATATGAAAGATAATTGAGAGAAAAAATAGAAAGAGAATTAGAAGAATAAAAAAGACTTAAGTAATAGGAAATTGAAATTTAAACTGAAAAACTAGTAACTGATACAGGAATTTAACATGTTGATTAAAATGCTGTTACAGCAGCTGAATATATGAAGACACTAAAATCATTATCAGGAAATGTTATTGATATGAAAAATTAATTTATTTAAGGATAATAAAAGTTAAATTATGAGTTAATTCAACTTAGAGATAAGGCATAAAGAGATATCGAAGAAAAATTAAGAATTTAAAAAGAATTAAAAGAATTAGAATAAAGATAATAAGCAATGAAAGTTTGGGAAGGAGAAAAATAAAGATAATTAATGTAAGCTTTAGAAAAGAATGCTCCAATTCCTTAGTATAAATCAGCTTATATGGATCATAAATAATTAAATCCAACCATTAAAAAAGTTATTAGATTTAAAGATTAAACTTAAGGTTATGAATATGAAGAACCTAATGGAATATTATCAAAATCTAATCTAATGCCCTTAAATGGAGGATATGATTAGAAACATTTACATAATTTAAAGGCTAATGAACCTGTTCTACCAGAAGAATTAGAAATTTTTAGATCAGAAGTAGCTCCTTAATTAAAATATTCAAACCCAATTACTAAGTAAATTAGAATGGATGATCTAAATGATTAATTCTATGACTATAAATATTAAAGATAGCTAGAACATCCTGGTTAGGAAAGACTTGAAAGATCAAAATATGAAACTTAAATCAATAATGATCCAAATTAAATATTATTAGAAAATGACAGGAGGTTACATGAACTCAAAATTATTGATCCTAAAGCAGATAATAAATAAATTTAAGAATTATATGATTATTTATGAAAATATATATTTTTAAACAATTGTTCTTAATTTTCAACATTATTAATTAAATTTCTAAAAAAAAGATTATTTTATTCATAGAGGAAATTAGAAAATATTTTTGGATCTAATCTTTAAAAATTATAAATTTGATTTAATATCAAAATATGACTACTTAATTAATCAAATTATAAACCTCAATTTACATATTTATAATTTATTTCTTAATTATCTAGATTATCATTATCTAATTATTTTGATTTCTATTCATAATGTTCTATTTCTTATTCTACTTATATTATCTATTATTCTATATTGTTTCTCTTTTATAAAAGAGATTGATTTTCCATTTATATTTATTCATTTTTAACTTGCAATTTTTAAGATTTATCTTTTAAAACTTTTAGATTTTCTTATACGTTTTTCAGTTTTTCAGATAATTTCTTATAATTGTTTTAATCATCTTGCATAATTTTTTCTTATTTTTTTTGTTCAAATTTTTTTAGTATGTATTAAATACTGAATGTATGCTTTAATTGTAAAATTAATGTTTCAATATCATTTTAATTACATTCATTCACTGTTAATTATTAATAATTCTCAGATTAAATGCATTCGCATTATGATGGATTAAATGTATTAATAAAAGAACATTCTTCCTTTAAAGTCAGATATCCAAATGAATTACATTAATAGCATTTCAAAATCTATACTTAATTACTTTTAAGAATCTTTTGAATTCTACTAAGAATTTCTTCAATGAAATCATTTAAGTTTTTCAAAATCTCATAATTAAATTTTATTAGAACTGCATTTGTAAATGAATAAGTACTTTAAACGTTTTATGATACATAAAATATATTTTGTCTACTCATATGAAGATATTAAATCAATTTTGCTACATACTCAATTGAATTTTTTTTTTCAACTTTTGAGATTAGATTTTGTAAACATTATGAGAAATTTTTTAATGCTTCTTCTTTTATTTTTGAAGTTTCTTTTGAAAATTAAAATTTTATTATATTATTGATTTATGAATTACTTATCTTCAGTATAGTTTCTTTGAGTCTCTTTTCAACCTATTAAATAAATAACATTATAAATCTATTAGTTAGAAATTTAACTTCATATTAATTAAAGTTTTAATTGAAATCAAAAAGAATCAATCTTATATTTTATTAATATTATTTTTACAAAAGAGGATTATTAATAATAGGGGTTTATAAAAAGTTTTGTTAATAATTAACTTTATCCAAAAATATGAATATTTAGTGCAATTCACCTTCTAAATAAATGCTTTAAAAAAACAGTTCTATTTCATTTTTCTATTTAAATTCTTTTCCTAATGCCCAAAAAACCTTAAATTTATTTAATGTATTTCTCGAAAATATCGGCATATTTTTATTATTAAAGTTGAAAGTATTTGGGAGATAATTGTGAATTTTTAAAATATTGGTGTCTTCAAGGAAGAATATAAAAAGTAGACAACTTTCATTGCATTTGCAATTTTTTAATTAGCAAAAACACATATCAATACTATTAATATAATATAAAACCTAATTAATTTTGTTAATAAGTAATTCAATTTTATTCTATTTCATTGGAGCATATTTAAATCAATATTTAATTTATCGATAACTCAAAAACAAAAAAAATAAAATAGAGGTTTAAATCAATATTATCTGGTTTTCATTTCAATTTGTTGTATCTCATAAGTCAATTAAAATATTTGCTATTCTGATTCAGATATTTCTTATGTTACTTGGAAATTGTCTTAATCAATTATTTTTTTCTATTAAAAGTTCAGATCGAATTATTTTTAAATTTTATTTAATTCTTAAAAGAGATAGTCCATATAACTGGTCAGTTCTTCGATCTTCTTTTTATTTTTTTTTTAAAGCTCTTGTTTTTATATTTTTCTATATTTAATTTTTTCAAGTTCTTCTTATTTTTGAGCTAACAATTTTTTATACTTAATCTATTCAAGATTTTACTAAAATTAAGATTCAGTTAATTTCATCTTTGCTCTATCAAAAAAGGTATTCTGAGTATCTAAAAAGTCTTAGGATGTAGATTCAATAGATGTCGTTATTTACTCAATAAAACAATTTTCTTCATCATTTAAATTAAAATGTAACCACTTCTATACCTAGAATGCTTATTATAATTCAGTTAAATCACTCTGGATATTAGTCTCATCCATATTTGTGTTCAAATTCATTATAATAATTGATATTTTGGATTTAAATTTATGAAGATACTTGAAGCAATCCATAATTTTCTTTTTCATTGTCTCTATTCGATCATGATTGGTAACAATAAAGATCTAATTTATTTTTCTTGAGACTATAATCTTCCCAAAATATTCTATTTATTCCTAATCTAACTATTATTCCTCATTTTTTAGCTCAAAAGATGGCGTATCAATTACAGAAAATAAATTATTTTTACATTTTGATTTTTTCACTTAACTTTTATCTAAATTTCTTTAGGATTTTTACACACAATCACATAATTTATTAAATATAATTGTTTTTCCAACCCCACTTTTTCCTATTAAAATAATTTGTTTTTCTTAATCTTCACTTTATGTAATCTCAAGTTGTTAATTATCTTTTTATTTAGTATCTAATATCACTTAATTGATTGATTTTTATTCCTCATTTTAATATTTTTATATTGTCCTCTTATCTTTATTGGATGGTATTTTCTCTATTATTAAGTTTAATTTTTTTGAGATTGGTTGTATTTTAAGTAATTAAAGTTTGAAATTATGCTTTGAATTAACTTCTTTTTAATTTTATTCATAAGGAACTTTGCATTTTGAACAACGTTTCTAAAATGTATTATAAAATTAACTAAGGATCCTATTATTATCTTCTTACTGTTAACAAAAAAATATACTTTTACATTATTTACAACATACAATTAATTATTTAAATTTTTCTTAAAGATTTCCAATCTTATCTAAAATCGCGTTAGTAAAATCATCAATAAGATCTAAGATTTAGGAGTTAAATTTTAATGAAATTGCGTTCCAATGAATTGACATTTTTCCATCTTCTTATTTTGAGCATTCATATAATGATTGATTTCTGATTTTAATCAAAAGTTAATATAACTCATCAATTTGTTTAACATGTTAATTTTGAAAACTCAAAGTATTATGTAACTAATCCAAATATTAATGATACTTTTCAACAAAAATTCGATGATCTTTAAATTATGGAATTTAATAATCAAACTTAATATTAGGACCTTTTTAAAAATTTTATAATTTTAAAAGTTCATCCTTTGAATTAGGTTTCAGTTCAAAAGGTATAATATTTCCAAAATTTCTTAAATTATTCGATACTTCAACTGGAATTTCATTATAATAATAATTTATTAGTAAAATGAAAGTTATGAAAGCAGCATAATCTTCATTTTAACAAATGAACTCAAAAAACTTTGTTTTATAAAATTATCTTTAAGTTTCAAGATCAATCATCACAAAAATTTATTTAAGATCTCCTTCTAAATTACAACTTTATAGATATAAATCAAATTCTTCTTTGCTAGATAAATTTTAACCATTAGATATAAATATTTTCTGTTGATTAATTTATAAAGTAGAAAATATAGAGACTTAATTAACCGATATATCACATAGTCCTTCTAAATTTTTTTTGAGTTTATCAAAATTTTCTTTAATCAAAAAGAAAAAAACAATTATGCTTGTTTCATCTTAGTTTTTATTATTGTTACTGTAGCAGCCACCCATATAAAAACAATTATTATTATATTATCATCTTGAATTTTCTTTAAATAGCAAATTTTTATTCTATTTCTTTTAAGTTATATTCAATTTAATTAATATAATTATATTATTTTAAAATATATATTAATAACTTATTTCAACTAATAATGCATCCACCACAACTCTTTTTTTAATTTTAGTTTTTCTTACGTTCATCATTATTAAATTATAAAATTATTTATTAACCATTGTTGATCTAATCTATTTAACTTAAGTCTTGGTTAGGGTTATAGCAAGTCCCATCTTGATTACGATAGATAATTTTTGTTATGATTTTTGTTGAACATGTATCCTAATCAGGTCTAGTAATCGGAACGTTATCTATTCTATCAATCTACAATTAGGCTTCATATTATATTTTATCCCAAAACATATCCTAAGCTTTTTATTGAGTTTCTTATCCATTTTTTTTCATACTAAAAAAATCTAAAACACCTGCATTCTTAAGCTCATTTAAGATTTATCCTGATAAAATTGGTAAACTATCCCATATTAATGTGGCTCCACAACCTTTCAATGATTTTTATTAATTTGTAAACTATTTTTAGTTTGCTTAAGCATTATTATTTAATTTAATAATTTCTATCTGTGATTTAGAAATATTTATTTTAAACTTTTTTGCAGCTGGCTTAAATTATTCATTGTCTGAATCTGGAAAGGCTCCACATGTAGTTTATCCTCCACATCCAGATACTTTTAACCATATTAATTAACAATGTGGACATTATTTTATGTAATTATAAATATGTGCTGGATAATCAGTCATTTTATTTTAAGCCCTATTTATAACATCATTTAAATATGTCAAAATCTTAGATTTTAATTTAGTATGTGTTAAATAAGCTGTTTCATAATTACCACATTATTCAAGTAATTTAAAACAATCATAACCATGTCTTTTTTCAAATTCTTCAACTGTTGCATTAGCTTCTTCTTTCATTGCTAAAATTAATTCATGCATTAATTCAGCAGTATCACTTGTTTTATCTCTCTATTAATTAATAAAATTAATTGCTGCGTTACATTTAGCCTGAAATTCTGATTCAAGATCTAAAGTATTTATTTCAACATTCTAGTCTAAAGTAATAAACTCAGCAAATTAGTTTTCGAACTCTGTTTTAGTTAATAGAATTTTTTTCTTAATTGTTTTTATCAAAATTTAATCAATTTCTTTACAAATTTATTCACCTGATGTATTCGATCCAGAAAAAATAACATTTTAGAGACATAAAGGTGTAATTACTTCTTTAACAATATTTTTTTTCTCTTCTTCAAGCTTTTAAGTCTATTTTTTTTAGGAATCATTTTCAGCATTATCCCAATGAGTTACCACTACAGTTATCATCTCACGATATCTACTTAATAATTTAATACTTTCTGCTATGTCCTTTCTCATATTGCAAAGCCTATCATATTTTGTTAAAATCAGTATATTATTTAATGGTTTCCCTGTTATAGCAGCAAATATACCACCCATATGTACAATTACTGCTTTATCACTACCAAAACCAGGCGTATCCATTATATAAAAACCCATACCATAACTAGAAGATGTTTAAAATAAATTTCTTGTACAAGAAACCCCCCCTGCATAGGTCAATTGGGCTTCTCGACAAATTTTATTGAAAAGTGTTGTTTTTCCAGATCCAACTCTACTTATAAGGACAACTGCAGGTCTTTCCTTTATCATATATATTAGAGAAAATGAATATTAAATGCAACATATATATAGAGGGTTTTCAAAAATCTATTCTATTTAGTAATTTAAAGGCTCATTAAAATTATAAATTTTATAATAATTATATTTTACAAGCGATTATTAAAAATATTCGTCAATTATAAATATATTATTTTATACGAGGAATTAAAATATTTCAGTAATTAAAAAGCTAATCTATTTAAGATATGGTTATAAAAGATTTCAAAATTTATTACTTTGCAACTATCTAATAAAACAATTTAAAATCATCTTAGTGTATATAAATTTTTTTCTCCCTAAATAAATATAAGGATATAATTCTATTCTAACATTATTAAGCAAATTATGTAATTCTACAAAATTTTTCATTTATTCTGGAGTATTGTTTATAAAGAGTCGTAATAGTTATCTATAAAATGTTTCATTACTAGTAATATAAGTTACTACTTTTGAAATTGTTGCAGCCAAAATCACTACTTTTTTGTTTGAATAACTCTATAATATAAGTGCGATTTGTGTTTTATAATTCTCTTCAATAAAATACAATTTTTATTAAAAGTTTTTGAAAATAGTTAATATTAAATTTCCTTCCATCTAGGGCATCTAAAAAGCTCTTCTTTAAACTACTTCAAAGTTTCAAAAATTTCTTGATAATTATAATGAAAGTAGAATGCTTAACTAACATTTCTCTTCGATTTAGTTACAAGATTATTCTTGCTGAGATTCACTTGATTTAGAAATCAAAATATCGAATATTATTTTGGATGGGAAGTTTCACAATTTCCTAAAAATTAATATTGTTGAATAGATGTGTAAAATTTACAATTAGATTGAGTAATAATTTCTATTTTTTGTATATTTTAATTAATTCTGAAATATAATTATGAAATAATCATAACAAAAAACTATTACAAAATTTATTTCAAGAAAAATAAGATTATTCTCTTGATTTTGTAGTTCTAATTATTTTGATTAGGTTTGCTTAAATTAATATAAAATTTCTCAATCTTATAATTATAATTAAAAATGGATCAATTTCAGACTTTCTATTAGAGCTTAAGTGAGAAGCAAACAACTCCTATATCTGAAGAATACCGAAAGTAATTTAAGATTAGAGGAGAGTTCATCTATCCACATAGTAAGAAGTTTGATCAAATTTGTATAAGGTTTTTTATAGTTCTAAAAGTTAGTTTTTTGGAAGATGAAAAATTGAGAAGTAAAAGAAAATGGGACAACTCTTTTAAATTATTTTTAATATGGTTTTTAGTTAAATATTTTGAGAAGCAAAATCTTATTACAATACATCCTGTAGAAATTAACAATAATTTGTTAGGATGAGAACGATTGGATTAAATTTGAAGCAATTTTAAAAATAGATAAACATGCCTTAAAGCAAAGGTGGATTACACTAATAAATCCTTAGATGAAATCAATTAATTGGTTATAAGAAGAAGATGATTTTATAAAGAATTAAATGAAGTAAGTTAAAATGACTTAGTTGATCATAGTTAGAAGAATAAGCATATTTGGACATAAATTGCAGTATCTCTTTATGAAAGGAATTTATAAGGTAATATTCGAACACCAAAATAAATTAGAGAAAGATGGATGAATTATTTAAATCCTGAATTAAATAAGTAATTTATTCTAGATATTTTTAGAGAACAATGGTTGCTTAAAGAGGATTTGATAATTTTAAAAAATGTTATAAATAATGGAAAAAAGTGGTCGTAAATTTCATAATAGTTGAATGGAAGAACAGAGAATTAAGTAAAGAATAGGTAATTAAATAATAAGTTAATTTAAGATATAAATCCTTAATTCATAAGATATGTAAAGATGATGAATGTGATGAAATAGAAATGATCAAATAATATATTAGAAAAAAGTAATTGTTAAAAATTTAATAAGTAGTTCAGTAAATATGGACTCTAATAAGTAAGGTATCATTGGTAAAAGAGGGAGACATAAAAAGGGAATGAGAAATAAAGATCAAAAATCTGAATTAAAAAAACAAAGAAATATTCCAAAAATAATAAAATAGGAAGATTAATAATCATAGTAATCTTAAATATAACAAGCACAATAATAATTATATGCATAATCATAATCAATATAAACTTAATAATTTCAATAATTGTAGTAGTATCAATAATAGATGAGTTTTAATCCTGAAGAAATGAAGTTGGCATTAAATTTATAATCTACTTTTATTTAGGAAGATATGAAAAATGCAACTCCATGGATGATGTTATAATGTTTAACATCTCCAGGATATCAGTATTTTGAGAATCAATTTTTAAAATAATTATCACCTGAGATTGTAGAGGATGGAGAATGCCAATAAAATTCATCTTTATAATTACCAAAAATCACAAATGTTTATAAGGTTAATTCTACATCTCCATTTTTAATTGGATCAATGATGCCATCTCCATTTTGGAGCAATGATCAATTTGTTTAATAGAATGAAGAACAAATGGGAGCTATTTATAATTAAACATTTAACTAATAAATTTCTACAACTCCTTATTTAAATTTGAATTATTTTAGATAACAATAAATGAATGGTTTTTCAAAATAAAAGGAGTTAGATTTATTGTAAGAAAATCCTATATAGTAATTTAATAAAAGAAGAAATATTAATTAATAGTGAATAGATGATAATAATATATATATATATTTTATATAAAATTATTCATGATAAAGAACAAGAATAATTTAGACACTTTAAGTGTAAGAGAAATTATGTTTAATGTAGGGTTTGAAATAGGAACTGTAAATAATTGAAGATGAAAAGACCTAGGAGTTGAAACATCTGAAATACTATTTTAAAACACTACAATAGAAAGTATGGGATTTGAAAAGAAGAAGTAAAAATCTAAAGATATGAATTAGATTACAATTAAAATTTATGTTTCATTGATCCTCTCCTTAGGGACTCATTTAAATCAATGTAAGATTTAATTGGGCTTAAGGCAGAAGCAATAAAATAATTGGAGGATGAAAAATACAATCAATAGGTTGATCGTGAGAAATTGGGTATTGAAAATATATATAGTTTAGTTGTATTGCATAAGTATCAAGAAAGTGGTGTTGAAGTACATCATGCATACACTAAATACATCCAATCTGAAAATCTAAAAGGCTTAAGAGATTTGCCACATTCATATAGATTGTTAGAATAGAACTTAGAAATTGAAGTGGAAAGAAAACGCCAATTAAAATAATAGTTAGAGTCTCAGAAGAAATAAACTGAGGAATTATTATAGGAGACTCGCAAAAAACTTGAAGTTGAATTAAAATTTTCTACATATATCAGGAAGCTACATCTTTCCATCATTCGCTGCAGTAAAAAATAGACCAGGAGAAAAACTGAAAAAGCATCCACACGAAGTCCATATATAAACATATTTTATTTTTTTTTATTTTTCTTTATATGGATGGCAAATTGTGTCACCAGTATGATTAATTAAATAATTTTGAAATTAAATGGAAGTGGAAACTTAGAATATGACATAAGAAGAACTTGAACTCTTTAAATTATTGAAATAGAGAGAATAAGAATTGGAATATTTAGACATTTAAGAATAATATTTGAAAGATGATTAAAAAAGATTGAAAAGAGAATTAGTAAGGAGTAGAGAAGAATTAAAAAGAATTTAAGCAGTCCCGTTAACAGTCGGGTAAATATCAGAATATAAATCTTAATTAGTCATTTTAATGAAATGATGAATGAGAATTACGCTTTGATAAATTCTAATGGTGGAGCAACACTTTATGTGAGAGTGCTAAGTACATTGGATAGAGAGAAATTAAAACCAAATACATCAATAGCATTACATAGACATTCACATAGTGTAGTTGATATTTTGCCAACTGAAACAGATTCATCAATTCAAATGATGCATGTAACAGGTATTATTAGATATAAATAAAAACAGAAAAACCTGATGTGAGTTATTAAGATATAGGTGGTTTGGATTAATAGAAATAGGAAATAAAAGAAGCAATTGAATTACCATTGTCTTATCCTGAATTATATAGATAAATAGGTATTGATCCACCAAGAGGTGTTCTTTTATATGGTCCTCCTGGTACTGGAAAGACAATGATAGCAAAAGCAGTGGCACATCATACAACTGCATCATTTATTAGAGTTGTAGGATCAGAGTTTGTTTAGAAATATTTGGGAGAAGGACCAAGAATGGTTAGAGATGTATTTAGATTAGCAAGAGAAAATGCACCTAGCATTATCTTTATTGATGAAGTTGATTCTATTGCAACAAAGTATTTTAATTAAGTATTTATATTTTAGACGTTTTGATGCTCAAACAGGAGCGGATAGAGAAGTATAGAGAATTCTTATTGAATTACTCAATCAAATGGATGGTTTTGATTAATCTACAAATGTCAAGGTTATTATGGCTACTAATAGACCTGATACTCTTGATCCTGCACTTCTTAGACCTGGGTAAGATTTAATTAGCTATTACTTTTAGACGTCTTGACAGGAAAATAGAATTCCCTTTACCTGATAGAAGATAAAAGCGATTGATATTCTAAACTGTTACATCCAAAATGAATTTGTCAGAAGAAGTTGATCTAGAAGCTTTCATTAATAGACCTGATAAGATTAGTAATGCTGATATTGCTGCCATCTGTTAAGAAGCTGGAATGTAGGCTGTTAGAAAGAATAGGTATGTTGTCATACAAAAGGACTTTGATAAAGCCTACAAAATTGTAGTTAGGAAAACTGAGAAAGAGTTTAATTTTTACAAATGAATTATATAATATAGATATATATATACAAATTTATCTAATCTTATCTATTCATTTTATCATTATTAATTCAATAATTAAATTAATTTATAATTATTCATTTATATCATGTCACAATCAAGCGATATCACATAAATGAATGATAATAACTCACCAGCTTAAAAGTCTTCTTTACCAACTGATGTTAATAATATGCTGAAGGCTCAAAAGGATGATGTTCCTATAGGTAAAATGCATCAAGCAATCCTCCCTCCCACCCTTTTAAACAGAAAATAGCTTGAATTTAAAAAATCCAATTTATCTCATTAAAAGATTTGGAATTCTACTTCTAATGAAGATATGTAAAGAATTAATGAAATCTACAAATAATTTCGTAGGAAATTTGGAAGAAATGCTTAACATTTAGATGAGTTCTTTACTTTAATAAGTCGAACAAATTAAGATTTAGAGTTAGTACAATAGTTAATCTTATTTGAAGATAAATTTCTTTTAAAGTACATCTAAGCAAGAAGTTCTTTATTAAAATGTGATTGATATTTATATGCTTGCATTTCATTCACGAAATACTCATTTTTTATATTTGAAATCCAATATTTATTATTATTTATACACATCATTTACAAGTTATATCAATCACTAATCAATATTCTATAAAATCACAACAATAAATACATAATTTTCTTGCAAAACATCTTTCAAAAACGATAAAGAATTCATCATTTTAATAAGGAAAATTAAATTTTTAATTAATATTTAGAATAATAATTTGTCTGTATCTACTTAATAAATATAATGTTAAGTTTATTCACTTATGTTATTATTACAACAGTTCATCTGAATCTTAAATTACATTACGAATTCTATCAAAATTATTAGACTAAGATAAAAATCATTCATTTTACTTATCTTGTTTATGGTGAGGAATATTTTTATTATGGCTTCAGAACTTAATTAGAAGCTTTCAATGGTTGATTTCCTTGAGGTTTATACTCTAAAACTGTAATCTCTCTATCAAATTAGCCATTCTAAAATTTAGAATAAAAACACAAATACAATTGGATAAACTGTTTATGCTAATTATACAGGAATTTTTTAGCCTGGAGGTGTTTAATTATAATTATTTGTAGAAGGTGGTCTATTCAAATAAATAATTGGCATTTGCACAGGTGCAGATTATTAAATTACAGGTTATTGGATTGGAGCTTATTACAAAGGCAGTGGAATTTATTACAAAGGTGGTGGAACTTATTACAAAGGTGGTGGGACTTATTGTAAAGGTGGGGGCACTTATTATAAAGGTGGTGGAACTTATTGTAGAGGTGGAGTTTTTTACAAAGGTAATGGAACTGTATAATTATTTTATTATGGCTAAATAGGAGGAGGTGGAGCAATTTAAGGTTAGTAATATTATTATGTTGTTTTGATTGGATTAATTGGCGATATAGGTGTAGATACAGGCTGTGATTATAATTATTGTGGAGGGATTTATGGTGTAATTTAAGGTTGTAATGGAATTTATTAAGATTACATTAACAACCTTTATAGTAGTTGTGGCTATTAATTCACAAATTATTAAGGCTAAGGAGAAACAGATTTTCTTAAATCTGGACTTTATACCATTGGCTATTGTTATTGAGAGGGTATTTGAATTATTACATTTTATTAAGGAGTAATTTATTATTATTGTAGAATATTTTGTTGTTATTAAAAAGGCAGGATTTATTATTGTTATTAAACTGGTTATTAAATAATTTATTAATGTATTGCTGGCTATTAATTTTATGCTGCAGTATGTTGAAGAATATTAGTTTATTGATATTATTATGGTATCAGTTGTTATTATTATTGTTATGTTTATTAGTGATTAACTTTTATTTATGGTTAATAATGAGTATTGTCAACTTATTGGGATTCATACAAAATTTCTGAATGTTTGTATGAATGTTCAATAATTTATTTTAATTTGAGTTTGGAAATGTTATTTAAGGGAATTGCTAATTATTTTACATCTTCAAAATTTAATTAAAAGTCTTACAACTTATTAATTTTTTCTGAATATGGTTTCAATAAAAAATAAACATCTTCGATTAAAAGTTAATTATCAGTTTCTAACATAAGATGCTCCATTATTCTAATTAAGTGTTATGAAAAACGATTGTAACATAACATCTATTATTATGCAATTTATTAATTATCTATTAAAACGGGTAGATCAAGTATCATGAGATCAAGTATTATGTGTCCTAAAGCAAATGAATCAATTTTATTCCAATTTATTTATGGTTATGATTAATTAATGAGTGATTTTTTCAATGTAGGAGGTAAGTAAGTTTATTAATTTTCTACAACGAACCTAGCAACTGAGTTTTTTTAATTTTACAAAACTCCAATAGGACTAAGTTTAATAGTACCATGTCGTTTAAGAGCAACTGTTGATGGTCTTAAATCTTTATGATTATAACCTTTTTGTTTTAGTTCATAAAGTGCCTACACCAAACACCATAACAAATACCAAATTTCTTTTTCTGAGAATGATTCTCGATTTTCTTTTCTCTCATAGATTTCTCTATTTTAAACATAATGAATTACTTATCTAAAGTATGAGGAACATACTCATAATAACTGAAAATAGTTGAGTAAGATGAACACATTTCTTACGATTACCTTTCAGCACTCCCATAATAATTGATAATATAGGGGGCTTAAATATGTTAAATCATGGATTAAGTTTAATGCCATAACTCATCTGATTCTTAATCAAGGATTCGATTTGGATATTCAATAATCATTTCTTAATTCGCATCGCAAACATAAACTTATCCATCATTATTCTCGCCCTTTATCTCTATTGGTCGAAACTAACTCTTAAAAGTCTTGAAAAAAGAGGTCGAATTCATATATGATGGAGCAGATGTTCCCATTTAATAAACAAAATAAAAATTATTTCAATGTTTTTTAAATCTCTCTAATCTCTCCTAAGCTGTTAATTCCTTAGCTTTGTTCTTTCTTTTTTGTTCCTTTTGTAATTTACAAGCAATAGTGTATGCTACAGCAGGATCTTTAAAGTTCCAATTTTACATTATTTTCTAACAAATTATATATTATCATTATTACTTTAGTATGTTCTCCTATTGTTGGTAAGCAATCTGTCTTGACTGTTTTTTCACTATACTTACTTTGTCCCATTTGAGATTATGATTAAGTTCCTGATAAATGAGATGTTCTCATCTAAGTTTCAGTATTGTTACTTGGTTTCTTAGTGTTAGATCCTGATTATTTCTATGGAACTTATTGTTATTATTAAACTTTTTATTATGCTTATTGAGTGAACTATTACTATAATAATTACTATTAATTTTAACTCTATTTGAATATTTATTGTAAATCCAGTCCCTAAGGTATTCTTAGATCAAAATTAAGATGAATATCCTACTTTAAAAAATCATCATCAATTTCTCCCAAATCATCCAATTCGCTATCTTCAAATTTGATATTTTTCATCCTATCTCTTAATCTTTTTCTTATTATATATCCTCGCCAAACCTTTTAAATTCTTAAAGCAAAAATATTTAATTTTTTCTTATTATACTTTTATCTAAATTATTTTACTTATGGCAATCTTCTAGCTAAAAAACCTCTAAAAAGAGATTAAACAATTATTAATTATTTTTATTTAGATTTGTAATACCTTTATCTTTTTTTAAACTTATAAATCCATCTAATTAGCAATGATTATACTTTAAAAAGTGATCTCTAATATTTTAAATTAAAATCAGAAATTTCTTTATCAACATCAATATTAATTTAAAAGTTATTCTTGATAAATGTTAAATCATTTAAAATTTGAATAATTTTAAATCTCTCTGTGTAAGTAAATGGATGAATTTTTGTAATCTTCCTTTATTCTAATCCATTTATCTTATGCATTATTTAAGTATTGTTATTTAATTAATTAATCAACTTATTAAAACTAATTTCCAATTCTAATTATTATGATTTTCTTTAGGGAGGTTCTAGAAAACCATAAAATTTATCTTTTAAGAATTCTTAATCTTTCTTGTTTAACAAAGCTTGATTTACTTCAATTAATTATTGGCAATTAATAATTAACATATATCGATATAATTAAAGTACTTCCTAAAATATTTGTAAACTCATACTTCAGATAAACCAAGTAAAAATGGATTTTCAAGATAGTTTATTTGTTTCAACTGATTGCATCTTCGGATAAAATTTATTATTGTCCCAAATGATTAAATTCTGTTTCCTGATAAATCAATTTATTAAATATTTGGAATGTAAGATATCTGATACTCTGTATCATAACAAGTCTACAATTAATTGTCTTAAACTTATAAAATCTTATAAAATAATAGAATACTTGCAAAGAGGGTAGATAAACAATTCCATCAAGTGATTCAAGTTTATTCTTATTTAGATACAATTCATTCAGCATTAATAATCTCATTTCAGGTAAATGTTATAATTTATTTTTTGTGAGGATTAATTTACGTAGACATTGATTATTTCTAAAAGGGTTCTCATTTAATCCAATTTCTATTTGGTTTGAACTTAAATCAAGCATCTCTAAAATTACACATTTTGAGATATTCCCAATACTTTTTAATTAATTTTTATAGAGATATAGTTATTTCAAGAACTCTAAATTTTCTAAATTATTAATTGACTGAATTTTGTTGCCCTTTAAAGAATAAACTTCCAGGTATACACAATTATTTAGTTTACTCATTTCTTAGATGTGATTCATTTCTAAACGTAAAATTCTTAGATTACTCAATTTACCCAACTGATGATAAGTCTAGATATTGTTTTATTAAAGATCCACTTCGATTAGATTATTTAATGCAGAAAGTGGAGTAAGATCATTGATTTGATTACAGGATAGGATTACTTTTCGTATTTCTTTCATTTCTTAAATTCCATCAAGTGTAGTTAGATTCTCTAATTTAATTTCTAATTTTCTTGTAAACTTGGAAACTTAATTATTTTGAATGTATTATTAAAATAAGTTTAATTTAGAAGTATCATCACTTATATTAATATTATCTAAATTGGTTTTAGGTTATTCATATTCAGTAAAAGGATATCTATAAGAGTTGTACTTGGAATATTTTTGAATTAATTTATTAATTCTACATTAATGATATAAGAATACATATTCATTAAATCCTGATGAAGATTATTAACTTTTTTCCAATAAATCTCTTCGATACTATCACTCAATACTAATTACTATTGATTCTTTAAGAAATCTTAATAGACAATATTGTATTTAAGTTCAGAGTCAATTTATTGTATTTGTTAAATTTATATATTTGGTTTTATTTCTAATTACGTTTCGACATAATTGAATTTTTAAAACTTGATATTTTATAATCGTGAAAAAACCAATTCTTTTGTATTGCTTGGAGCAAGATTATCTTCAACTAAATCAAATATTTAAGGTATTTAGATGGAAGGAATTTTGAAGACAGGAATATTGAAATCAGGTATTTTGGTAGAAAATGAAATAGGTTTTAAAGCAGGAAACTCTTCAGGTAAATTATAGAGTCTATTTTTAAATAGTTATTTAATCCAAAAATCTTAATATTCTCTAGAATAATTGTCTTCAATTTCCATTTACATTATCTCTCTTTATTGATACATTAATTCTAATTTTTTATCTTACACATTTTATTTAATAGTAGATTTTGATTATTTTGTGGCAGATAAAGTTCTATCTTGTTTTTTTGTTAATATTTATGAATTAATCATAGACTTCTATAAATCAGTGATTGGTAATGGTTATTATTGTAGTAATAGTTCATCATGTAAAATGATTTTTTGTTATGGTTATTCTTTGATTTATGCAATAATTTCATTTGGTAATTAATCATTAAGTTCTACTTTAAGATGATCACCATTATAATCTTCAATTTCAATACATTAATTTCCTTGATTAATTTATTTCATAAGTTGAATATCATTTTCAATTTTATCTAACATTTCTTCTCTCTATTTATTTTGATTCATGAATTCTTACCAGATTCTAGATTATTTATAATCATGAATTTCATAATTATGTTATTCAAATATAAAACTTCTTTCAGTCTAATTATCATTGATAGAGATTTAATCTAGATCTGCATAAAGTCTCTTTTTGATTTCTTCTTCATCTTCTGATTCGTCTGAAAAACTCATTTAAATATTTGTATCTGTAATATATTATTTTATTTTAGAAAATTAGGAAATGCATTCGAAGAGTAAGCGAACATTAGGTAACATATAATTTAGAAAGATATAGGCCCAATACAAAAAATTAATAAACCTTCTTTTGATTTCCAGTCTGCGACTAAGGAACATCAAGAAGTTGAGTAAAGAATTAAATAAGAAACTGACACTTAAGATCCAAGGTATTATTAGACTTATAATATAAAGGAAACTTGTAATGAATCTGTTGAATGATAGGGACAATTTACAAACTATAGATGGGACTCTGACTAGTTCATAATTTGGGATGAAGAAAAAGGTAATTCTAATATGTAAAATAATAATAGACAAACATTCGTATTAATAGATAAGTGAAAAGTTAAGTACCTTTATTAACAAGTTAGATAAAGAATTTAACTTCACTTAATTTTAATCCACCATCTTAAACATTGAAATAAGATTTAGATTCATAATTCAATTCAAAAAGATCTAATTTCATTCCTAATTACATTAATTCAGGTAGAAATTTTGATGTGGAAGTAAAAGGAACATTAGGAGAAGAATTTACAGAATTTTAGATGTGTAATTTTACATTATTTATTATTATAGATGATGATGATTCATAACCTGAAGACATTCCAAAAAATAAGAATTTCTCTTATGGTGGTAGAATGGCTAATAAAAAATTAAAAGATTATGATTGTTGGGATGAAGATAAAACTCCTGAATAATGGATAGAAATATGTAATAAAACTAATCCACCTCATGCCAGATGTCCCCTTTTTGATTAATCAGATAAATATATATGGACTGATGTCGAAGTGCTTAGTTATCAAAATGGTCGATATTAAGTAAAAGTATTAAGAAATGGCAAAATCAAATGGATAGGAAGACTTTCATTACTATTTTATGCTGAAGACCCTATTAAATTTGAATAACGTGTTGAATTATGTAAATAAAGATAAAGAAATGCTGATGATGAATATAGATTTCTTAAATACATAGAATCATTACCTGATTCTATGACATCTATTTTATCTGATGAAATGCAAAAGAAAATTGATGATTTCACATTTTTTAGAGAATTACCTTATATAAATAAAGAAGATCCAAGTAAAACTGCTCCTGGATTTCCATAAATTTAAACTTTAAAAGATGAATCCAAAACCATGATCACTGATCCTGAAATTAAAAGAAAGTAATTATAAAACTTAGATTTACTTAAAAAAGATCTTGTAAGATAAGTTGAGAAAGAGTACATTATGCTGATGAAAAAATGTTCTATTCTTAAAGATATGGAAATCAATAAAAATGATATTAAATGGATTCAACTTAGAATTAGAAATAGATTTGAATAAATTAAGAAACCATATTATGGATTGTGTAAGCAATTTGGAAGTGACACAAAAATGATTATTTATGAATCATAAGCATAATCATCCAAATCTTTTAACAAAGCATAAGATTATTGGGCATTTTTCAATGTTAGATAAACAATCTCTAATTTACATTATTCAAAATTGACTGTTGTTGTTAATACTCTTAATGCTTTAACTGCACGATCTTAATTATATCAAAACTTCCCCTTACTTAATGTCTTATTAAATCATTAATCACTTCCCATGACATTGTCTAATTTTGAAAGTCAATAAAAATAACATTAAGTCTAAGGAAGATAAACTTTGTAAGTTTAATGGAGAAGTACCATAGTTGGAGATATATAAGATAAATTAAGAGAAAAATATAGATTTTATTAAACAGAAACTGAAGATTATTTAGATAGTGATTTATAAAAATTATTAATCAGAATAGATTACATGTTTACTAATTACATTAGAGAAAATGTTGTTAAATAAAATTGTTAAGCATGGGTTGATTTTATCAAAAAATTTACAACTCCTAAATAAGGAGAATATTGGAAAATTAATGACTATCCACTTATGATTCTAAATCTTGAAGTCAATCTTAGTTTTAAGAAAGGAAAAAAAAATGAAAAAAAAGTTAAATAAGATGACACTCCCTTATTTGAAGAAGATACTTCTAATGCTATTTATTATTCTCCTAATTTATAAGCTATTTAAGCTGCTTTATTAAAACCATTAGATTTATTATTAGAATCAGTTAATTCTTTTAATCGTCTAGAAAAAGATCTTGTTCCTTTAGTTGACATAGATTAAAAAAAGGAAGAAAAAGGACGATTACGAGCTTATGAAATAGAAAATGACAATGATTAAATATGGGTTAAATGGGCAAGAGATAAAATATTGGAATACGTTGAGATAGGATTTCAAAAACCTAATGAAATGCTTTAACGTTTTAGAGAATTTAGTTTTCTTTTAGAAAAACCCGTTTCTAGTATATTGAAGAGTTTATTTGGAGATATTTAAAAGAAACCTATTATTACATCTTTGGATAAAGATGAAATTCAAAAAAAGTTAAATGATTTTATCAATGCTAAATTATAAATATAAAGATTATGTTTAGATGAAAAGAATGAACAATTTTTTTAGATTAGAACTAGAATAGCAAAAGAAAATTTGATTTAGAAATCAAATGAATTTGTTTCCTCCATTTTGAAATAATGTTCTGAAATAGTAACAGATAACATTAGTCGTCTTAGTGTAGAATATAATGATATGAGTGAAAGAATAACAAAATAACCAAAAAATGAAGCAGAATTAGTTGAATTAAAGACATATATTGCTGAACATGAGGTTAATTTGGCTAAAAAAAAATAAGAAGTAGATTGTCTTTATGATTATTTAACAATCTTTGAAGAAATGAACCATACGTTTGAAGATAAGAATCTTTATGAATTTTGGAACTTGTATAGTTTTCCACCTGAAATAAAGAATCATGTAATAGAAGGTTAAAGAAAAGCCAATCTTTAGGAATAAAAGTTCATAGAGAATTTAGATAATGAGAAGGATAAGTTTTAAGGGGAATTAAGAGAATTAGCTGAATTATATTTGTCAGTATAGAAATTTGATGATTATACAAAAGCAAAAGAAAATGCAACAGAAGTTATGTTATTAAATGAACGATTGTAGAAGGCTAAAGAGAAGGTAGATTCTTTTAATGAAAGAGAAAGATTGTTTAAATCTCCAGAATCAGTATATGATGAATTAGAATAGTTAATTAAGAACTTTACGATTTATTATAATTTGTGGACTTATTTCATTGAATTTGAAATGGAAAAAGGTGATTGGTGTACAGGATCATTTTTAAAATTAAATTTTACTGAAATAGATGCTAAAGTAAGAACAAATTAAAGAAATGTAAATGTTTTGATAAAAGCATTTTCAGATACAGGTGATGATACAGCTGCAGAAGTAGCTAGAAAGTTAAAGAGTTAGATAGATGAATTTAAGGAAAAGTTATGGTTGATTGAATTATTAACTACGGAAGCAATGAAAATTAAATTGAATATGTGGAAGGATATTTGGAAGATAGTTGGAATTGTAGATTAAGAAACTAATGATGATTTATCATTAGATACACTTGTATCACATGGTTTAATGAATTATAGAAGTGATATAGAGGAAGTATCAAGAAGAGCAGAAAAGTAATGGTAAATTGAAAAGAATTTAAATTTAATTCAAGAAAAATTAAAAGATTAAAAAGTTGAAATGATTCCATACAAAAAGACTGGAACTTTTGTGTTAAAATCACTTGAAGAAGTAGTCTAATGTTTTGATGATCAATTTAATATTTTATTGATGTTGAAAGCTTAACCATAAATAAAGGCTGTATTACATAAGGCATAAGCTTTAGAATATAAAATAGTATTAATTTAAGATACTTTGGATGGATGGATTAAATGTTAAAGAGGTTGGATGTATTTAGAACCCATCTTTACATCAGATGATATAAAAAAGAAAATGCCATAAGAAACATTAAAATTTTAGAAAGTGGATTCACATTGGAGAACTGTTATGGAATAATTTAGTAAAGAACCAAATTTATGGGATGGAGTGGAGAGTGATAAAATGAAAAATGAATTTGATTAGGATAATAAAGCTTTAGATTAGATTTAAAAATCACTTAGTGAATATTTAGAAACAAAACGTAATTCATTCCCAAGATTTTACTTTTTGTCTGATGAAGAATTATTAGAAATTTTGGCATAAACTAAAGATCCTGAAACAGTATAAAAGCATATTAATAAATGTTTTGAAGCAATAAACTTATTGGAATTTGTAAATGGTTAAGAAGTAGTAGCAATGATATCAGCCGAAAAAGAGAAAGTACCTTTTTCAAAGGCAATAAATGTAAATGAAGGAGATAAGAAAGGTAATGTTGAAAAATGGTTATGTGAAATAGAAGCAGTTATGATTGATACTTTAAAAAAAATAATGAAAGCATCTCATTTAGATGTTGATACTAAAAGAGTTGCTTGGGTTCGAAAATGGCCAGCTTAGATTGTTTTAGCTGTAAATATGATTAGATGGACTAGGGGTAGTGAAACATCAATTAATGATAAAGATAATGCTCATGGTGGATTAGCAGGATTTTTATAATTATTAATAAATGAATTAAGAGATATAGTAGATTTAGTTAGATAAGATTTATCTCCTTTAGAAAGATTAACATTAGGTGCTTTAGTTGTCTTAGATGTACATGCTAGAGATGTTATTAGATAATTAGTTAAGATTGGTTGTAATGATATAAATAATTTTTAATGGATGGCATAATTAAGATATTATTGGACTGAATAAGTAATGAAATGTAATGTGAAGATGATTAATGCTGATTTATTATATGGATATGAATATTTAGGTAATAGTATGAGATTGGTTATAACACCATTAACAGATAGATGTTATCGTACTTTGATGGGAGCATTCCATTTATAATATGGAGGAGCACCAGAAGGTCCTGCAGGAACAGGTAAAACAGAAACTGTTAAAGATTTAGCAAAGGCATTGGCAGTTTAATGTGTTGTATTTAATTGTTCTGATGGTTTGAATTATTTAGCTATGAGTAAGTTCTTTAAGGGATTAGCAAGTTCAGGAGCTTGGTGTTGTTTTGATGAATTTAATCGTATTGATTTAGAAGTCTTGTCAGTTATTGCTTAATAAGTACTTACTATTTAAGATGCTATCAAATAAAAGAGACCTGAATTTGAATTTGAAGGAACACCTATTAAACTTATTCCTTCATGCGCTATCAATATTACAATGAATCCTGGATATGCTGGAAGATCTGATTTACCAGATAACTTGAAAGCACTTTTTAGACCATGTGCTATGATGGTTCCAGATTATGCATTAATTTCAGAAATCTATTTAGCTTCTGTTGGATTTTAAGATGCAAATAATTTAGCTCGTAAAATTGTTGCTTCTTTAAGATTATCCTCAGAATAACTATCTTCATAAGATCATTATGATTTTGGTATGAGAGCTTTAAAGGCAATTTTAACAGCTGCAGGAAATTTAAAAAGAGTCATGAATGATATTGAAGATATCATTTGTTTAAGAGCATTAATGGATGTCAATATTCCAAAATTTACAATAAATGATGTACCTCTATTTAATTCAATTACATCTGACCTATTTCCAGGAATTAAATTGCCTGAATAAGATTATGGAGCATTAGAAACAGCACTTAAAAATATGGCTTAAGAGATTAATATTCAAGCAGAAAAAGGATTCATTGAAAAATGTATTTAACTATTTGATACTATAAATGTTCGACATGGTTTAATGATTGTAGGATAAGCATTTGCAGGCAAATCAACAGTTTTGTAATGTTTAGCTAAAGCAATGTCCTCTTTAAATAAAATATAATCATTTGTGAATGTGAGTGTTCTTAAACTTAATCCAAAATCAATTACTTCAGATTAATTATATGGTAAATTAGATCCAGATACAAAATCATGGACTGATGGAGTCATAGCCATTATAATGAGATAATGTGCATAGGATGCAGAAATTGAAGAAAGAAAATGGGTTGTATTTGATGGTCCTGTAGATGCTGTTTGGATTGAAAATATGAATACCGTTTTGGATGATAATAAGAAATTATGTTTAACATCTGGTGAAATTATTAAAATGACTAACTGGATGACCATGATGTTTGAAGTTGAAGATCTATCTGTTGCATCACCTGCCACTGTTAGTAGATGTGGTATGGTCTTTTTAGAAACATAATAAATTGGGTGGTATGCCTTAGTCAAATCATACATACAAACTATTCCTGAGAAATTCATTGAGCATCATTATTTGGATGATCTATTGAGAGTTTTGATTGATTGTTGTTAAGAATGGTTAAGAAAAAATGGTAAGTTTCCAATTTATAAGAGTGAAATGACTTTAGTTAAAAATATGCTTCTAATTTTACAAACTTACATTTAGGAATGGACAGATATGGATGAGAAAGCATAATAAAAATAAATTAATCATAATGAAGTTAAAGAAGTAATATCTAAAGCTATACTATTTTCTTGTGTTTGGAGTTTTGGAGCTGCCATTGATGAGGTGTGTAGAAAATAATTTAATTAATTTTTAATTAAATTAATTTCATCTGAAGATGTTCAAGAATCTTGTAAATTGTAATTACAATATAAATTTTAACCAATCACTATAAATGCTAAATTACCAGATAAAGCTAATCTATTTGACATGGTCTATGATAGATAGAAAAATAATTTTATTAGTTGGACATAAACTTAACCTCCTTTTATAATTCCTAAAGGATGTGATTACCATGATTTACTTATTCCTACAAGCGATTCTATGAGAAATAATTACTTCTTACATTTATGTGTAAAAAATAAAATACATCTCTTGGTTTCTGGACCTACTGGTACTGGTAAGACATCAAATATTGTGAGTGAAATTAATAAGAACTATTTTAATACAGAATATACAAATTTGATAACTGCATTTTCAGGTTAAACTTTAGTAAATTAAGTTTAAAAAACAATAGAAGCTAAAGTTAATTCAAGAAGAAGAAAAGGATATTTTGGACCTGAAGAGGGAAAGAAGTTTATAGTAATTTTTATTGATGATTTGAATATGCCTGCCAAAGAAAAGTATGGTGCATAACCACCTATAGAATTATTAAGATAATGGATGGATACAGGAGGATGGTATGATTTAGAAACTAAAGAACCTAAATACTTACAAGGAATTACATTTATTGCAAGTATGTTACCTCCAACAGGAGGAAGAAATGTTGTTAGTATGAGATATTTAAGACATTATGTGTTATTGTATGTTGAACCATTTGAAGGAGATTCTTTATAAAGAATATTCTAAAATGTGTTAGAATGGTATTATGCTAGACAATCTAATCCATTTATGAAATCAATAACAAATCTTAGAGATTAAACAGTGAATGCTACTTTAGATATTTATTAATTAATTTAAACTTGTAAAGAACTTTTACCTACTCCAGCTAAATCTCATTATATTTACAATCTTAGAGATATTAGTAAAGTATTTTAGGGAATTTCAAAAGCTATAATAAAGTCTTTTAGAGATGAGAATGATTTCATAAAATTATGGGCTCATGAATGTTAACGTGTATTTTAGGATAGGTTGATTAATGAGGATGATTAAGGAACTTTTGATAAGATCTTAAAAGAAACAATTTTGAAACATTTCAAGAGAGATTGGAAATAATTAGTATAAATAGAACCACTATTATGGGCATCATTTGTTCCTACATTGTATCCTGAAGATGATAGATCAAAGAGACCAATGACTGATATTTATTGTGAATTAACAGATAGAGAAACACTTAAGAAAGTATGTTAGGAATAATTGAATGAATATAATTCTTAATATACAAGTAATAGAATGGAGTTAGTATTATTTATGAATGCAATTCAACATGTATTAAAAATAGTACGTGTTGTTAATACTACATTTGGTCATGCTTTATTAGTTGGTGTAGGAGGTTCAGGTAGAAAGAGTTTGGCTTAATTAGCTTCATTCATAGCCTTCCAAAATGAAACCTTATAGGTAGACTCAAGAAATTGGATAGAAGAATTATAGAAAGTAATGAAGATGGGAGGAATAGATTAAAAAGAGATTGTGTTTATGTATTCAGATACATAGATTATTAAGGAATCAATGGTTGAAGATATTTGTAATATCTTGAATAATGGTGAAGTGCCAAATCTATTTCCTGCAGAAGAGAAAGGTAAGATCATTGAGGAAATGAGTAGTTATACTTCTGGTACACCAAATGAGAAATACAGTTATTTTGTTAGGTAATGTAAAAAGAATTTGCATCTTGTGATTTGCATGTCACCTGTTGGAGAAGCATTTAGAAGAAGATTACGTACTTTTCCAGCTTTGGTTAATTGCACAACTATAGATTGGTTTTTACCATGGCCAGAAGAAGCACTTAGATCAACTGCAGATGCTGTATTTACAAGAGATATGAATATTACGGATACTAAATTAAGATAAGGATTGGTTAATATTGCTGTTGATATGTAGATGAGAGTATCTGATTTAACTAAAAGATATTATAATGAATTAAGAAGATATTATTATGTAACACCTACTTCTTATTTGGAATTACTTAACACATTTAAGAGACTAAAATCTGATAGAGATTAAAATATGATTAAAATGATATCTCGTTATGAAGCAGGTGTTGATAAAATTATTATTACTGAAAGTGAAGTTAGCAAAATGCAAAAAGAATTAGAAGACTTACAACCTAAATTAGAATAAGCTACTAAAGATAATAGCATAATGTTGATTAATTTATAAAAGAAATAAAAAGAAGCAGATGCTAAAAAATAAATTTGTCAATAAGAGGAAAAAGATTGTAATGTTTAAAGAGATGCAGCNTGAAATCAATAACAAGTCTTAGAGATTAAACAGTGAATGCTACTTTAGATATTTATTAATTAATTCAAACTTGTAAAGAACTTTTACCTACTCCTGCTAAATCTCATTATATTTACAATCTTAGAGATATTAGCAAAGTATTTTAGGGAATTTCAAAAGGTATAATAAAGTCTTTCAGAGATGAGAATGATTTTATTAAATTATGGGCTCATGAATGTCAACGTGTATTTTAGGATAGGTTGATTAATGAAGATGATTAAGGAACTTTTGATAAGATCTTAAAAGAAACAATTTTAAAACATTTCAAGAGAGATTGGAAATAATTAGTATAAATAGAACCATTATTATGGGCATCATTTGTTCCTACATTGTATCCTGAAGATGATAGAACAAAGAGACCAATGACTGATATTTATTGTGAATTAACAGATAGAGAAACACTTAAGAAAGTATGTTAGGAATAACTGAATGAATATAATTCTTAATATACAAGTAATAGAATGGAGTTAGTATTATTTATGAATGCGATCCAACATGTATTAAAAATAGTACGTGTTGTTAATACTACATTTGGTCATGCTTTATTAGTTGGTGTAGGAGGTTCAGGTAGAAAGAGTTTGGCTTAATTAGCTTCATTCATAGCCTTCCAAAATGAAACCTTATAGGTAGACTCAAGGAATTGGATAGAAGAATTATAGAAGGTAATGAAAATGGGAGGAATAGATTAAAAAGAGATTGTGTTTATGTATTCAGATACATAGATTATTAAAGAATCAATGGTTGAAGATATTTGTAATATCTTGAATAATGGTGAAGTGCCAAATCTATTTCCTGCAGAAGAGAAAGGTAAGATCATTGAGGAAATGAGTAGTTATACTTCTGGTACACCAAATGAGAAATACAGTTATTTTGTTAGGTAATGTAAAAAGAATTTGCATCTTGTGATTTGCATGTCACCTGTTGGAGAAGCATTTAGAAGAAGATTACGTACTTTTCCAGCTTTGGTTAATTGCACAACTATAGATTGGTTTTTACCATGGCCAGAAGAAGCCCTTAGATCAACTGCAGATGCTGTATTTACAAGAGATATGAATATTACTGATACTAAATTAAGATAAGGATTGGTTAATATTGCTGTTGATATGTAGATGAGAGTATCTGATTTAACTAAAAGATATTATAATGAATTAAGAAGATATTATTATGTAACACCTACTTCTTATTTGGAATTACTTAACACATTTAAGAGACTAAAATCTGATAGAGATTAAAATATGATTAAAATGATATCTCGTTATGAAGCAGGTGTTGATAAAATTATTATTACTGAAAGTGAAGTTAGCAAAATGCAAAAAGAATTAGAAGACTTACAACCTAAATTAGAATAAGCTACTAAAGATAATAGCATAATGTTGATTAATTTATAAAAGAAATAAAAAGAAGCAGATGCTAAAAAATAAATTTGTCAATAAGAGGAAAAAGATTGTAATGTTTAAAGAGATGCAGCAAATGCCTTAAGAAACGATTGTTAAAATGACCTTGATAAAGTGTTACCAATTTTAGCTCAAGCTGCAGAGGCTTTAGAAAAAATTGATAAGAATGATATGGTTTAATTGAAATCATTCCCTAAGCCTCCTCCTTCTGCAGCTATTGTAATGGAAGGTTTATGTTACATTTTTTAAGAAGATCAAAATGTACCATGGAAACCTAAAGAACCTGGTTCAATGGAAAAAATACAAGATTTTTGGGAGTATTCAAAAAAGAATTTATTAAATGATAAATTAATTAAAAGAATNNCAACATGTATTAAAAATAGTACGTGTTGTTAATACTACATTTGGTCATGCTTTATTAGTTGGTGTAGGAGGTTCAGGTAGAAAGAGTTTGGCTTAATTAGCTTCATTCATAGCCTTCCAAAATGAAACCTTATAGGTAGACTCAAGAAATTGGATAGAAGAATTATAGAAAGTAATGAAGATGGGAGGAATAGATTAAAAAGAGATTGTGTTTATGTATTCAGATACATAGATTATTAAGGAATCAATGGTTGAAGATATTTGTAATATCTTGAATAATGGTGAAGTGCCAAATCTATTTCCTGCAGAAGAGAAAGGTAAGATCATTGAGGAAATGAGTAGTTATACTTCTGGTACACCAAATGAGAAATACAGTTATTTTGTTAGGTAATGTAAAAAGAATTTGCATCTTGTGATTTGCATGTCACCTGTTGGAGAAGCATTTAGAAGAAGATTGCGTACTTTTCCAGCTTTGGTTAATTGCACAACTATAGATTGGTTTTTACCATGGCCAGAAGAAGCACTTAGATCAACTGCAGATGCTGTATTTACAAGAGATATGAATATTACGGATACTAAATTAAGATAAGGATTGGTTAATATTGCTGTTGATATGTAGATGAGAGTATCTGATTTAACTAAAAGATATTATAATGAATTAAGAAGATATTATTATGTAACACCCACTTCTTATTTGGAATTACTTAACACATTTAAGAGACTAAAATCTGATAGAGATTAAAATATGATTAAAATGATATCTCGTTATGAAGCAGGTGTTGATAAAATTATTATTACTGAAAGTGAAGTTAGCAAAATGCAAAAAGAATTAGAAGACTTACAACCTAAATTAGAATAAGCTACTAAAGATAATAGCATAATGTTGATTAATTTATAAAAGAAATAAAAAGAAGCAGATGCTAAAAAATAAATTTGTCAATAAGAGGAAAAAGATTGTAATGTTTAAAGAGATGCAGCCAATGCCTTAAGAAATGATTGTTAAAATGATCTCGATAAAGTGTTACCCATTTTGGCTTAAGCTGCCGAGGCTTTGGAAAAAATTGATAAGAATGATATGGTCTAATTAAAATCATTCCCTAAACCACCTCCTTCTGCGGCTATTGTAATGGAAGGTTTATGTTACATTTTTTAGGAAGATTAAAATGTACCATGGAAACCAAAAGAACCTGGTTCAATGGAAAAAATACAAGATTTTTGGGAGTATTCAAAAAAGAATTTATTAAATGATAAATTAATTAAAAGAATCAAAGATTTTAGAGATGATGCAATCAGATAAATTCCTTAAGCTAAAATAAATAAATTAAAAGCATTTTCATAAAATCCATTATTTTAGAAGGATAAAGTATTTAATGCATCTGTTGCTGCAGGTAATTTAAGTTTATGGGTTCGTGCTGTTGTAGAAACTTATGATGCTTTATTAGTTGTTGATCCTAAGAGATAATAATTGTTAGAAGCAGAAGCTAAATTAAAAGAAGCTGAAGAGACTTTGAGAGTGAAATAAGAAGCATTACAAGAAGTGCTTGATATTTTGGCTAAATTAGAAGCTGATTATAATAAAGCCAAATAAGAAAAAGAAGATTTAGAGGCTAAAGTTAATAAATGCAAGATTTAATTGAGTAGAGCAGAGAAATTAATTACTGAATTAGGTGGAGAGAAAGAGAGTTGGAAGAAGAAAGCTGCTGATTTTAGAGTTGATTCTAAAACAATAGTTGGGGATTGTATATTATCATCAGGAATTGTTGCATATTTAGGTGCATTTCCTATTGCTTATAGAGATGATACAATAAAAGCTTGGTAAGGTTTATTAACTAAATTAAATTTGGAATATGATCCAGATTATTCATTATAAAAAATTCTATGTGATCCAATCACAATGGGATAGTGGACAAATGTCTAAAAGTTACCAAATGATTCATTTTCAATTGATAATGCTATTATCTTAAAAAATTCTACAAGATGGCCATTGATGATTGACCCATAAACATAAGCTAATACATGGGTTAAACATATGGAATTGAAACATGGAGAAAATTAATCATTAGTTATTGTGAGGCCAACATAATCTTAAAATATATTATCAAAGACTTTGGAAAGTGCATTATAATTTGGATAGAGTGTTTTGTTAGAAAATGTAGGAGAGAGTATAGATGCCATATTTGAATCGATTTTATAATAAAAGATTATCAAACAAGGTTCTGCTTACAAATTAAAATTTGGAGATAAAATGGTTGATTATTCAAAAGATTTTAAATTCTATATGACAACAAAGTTAGCTAGACCTCATTATCCACCTGAAATATGTGTAAAAGTCACAATGTTAAATTTCTAAGTAACTTAAGAGGGATTGGAAGATTAAATGTTAAATATTGTTGTAAAAATAGAGGAACCAGCTAAAGATGAATAAAGACAAAGAAATATAAAAGAATTCTTTGAAAATAAGAATAAATAAAAGATGACAGAAGATAATATTTTATAATTATTATAAGAATCGAAAGGAAATTTATTGGATGATGAAGTTTTGATAGATACTCTCTAAAGATCTAAAGCAGAATCAATAACTATTTAGGATAAATTAAAGAAATAAGAGTAGGATAGAGAACAGTTTAATTAAATTCGTAATTTCTATCGAGAAGTGGCAAAGAGAGTGGCTAATTTATATTTTGTAGTTTTGGATCTTTCTTTGATTGAACCTACTTATTAATGGTCTTTAGAATTTTACATTATTTTGTTTGAAAGAGCAATCAGAGAATCAATTTAAGGAAAAGAGAATAGAAGTAAAAATATAATAGATAAATTTTAAATTTCTTTATATGAGAGTATATGTAGATCTCTATTGGAGAAAGATAAATTGATATTCTCATTTTTGATGACAATGAAAGTAATGTAAAGTGATGGTAAGATTACTCCTTAGGAAATTCGTTTTACAATGGTAGGTGGAACTTATACAGACCCAACGTATAATTAACCATAAGCAGAATGGATTTCAAAGAAGATGTGGTGTTTAATAACTGAAGCAGCTGATGTTTTGGCTTGTTTCAAAGGATTACCAGAATCTATTACAAAGAATTTAGAGGTTTGGCAAGAGATATATGACAGTTCAGAACCTTAGACATAAAAATTACCAGAACCATGGGCTACATCTTTATCTACTTTTTAAAAATTGATAATTTTAAGAATAATTAGAGCAGATAAATTTGCAAATGCAACTTAGAATCTTATTATTACAGAAATGGGTAAATAATTTATGGATCCTCCTCCATTCAATTTGGAATATGCATATAAAGATGCAGATGCATTTACACCATTAATTTTTATTTTATCACCAGGTGCAGATCCTCGTTTAGAAATTTAGAGTTTAGCTGATAAATTTGGATTTAGATAAAACTTTATTCCACTTTCATTGGGTTAAGGTTAAGGAGAAATTGCAACAAATGCCATAAAAGGAGCTGTCAAAGATGGAAAATGGGTATTATTATAGAATTGTCATCTTGCTCCATCATTTATGCCAGAATTAGAGAGAATTCATGAATAAGAGATATGTGCTAAACCTGATGTTAATACAGATTTTAGAATATGGTTAACATCAATGCCATCTAATGTATTTCCTGTTACTCTATTAATGAAAGGAATTAAAATGACTTATGAACCACCAAGAGGATTAAAAAATAATATGCTTAGAAATTTTTCATCAATTGATGCTAAGAGTTTTGAATAATGCAAGAAACCAGTTGAATGGAAAAAATTATTTTTTGGATTAAACTTTTTCCATGCTGTTTGTTTAGAAAGACGTAAGTATGGACCTCTAGGTTGGAATATTCCATATGAATTTACTTCAGCAGATTTGGCAATTTCTGTTTCTCAATTGAAAAATTTCCTAGACACATTTGAAGATATTCCATGGGAGGCTCTTAATTATATGGTTGCAGAAGCAAATTATGGAGGAAGAGTTACAGATCCTAAGGATAGAAGATTGATTGCCATTTTACTTAAATAATTCTATACAACTGATGTTTTATAAATTGATAAACATAAGTTAAGTCCAAGTGGTACCTATTACATTCCTCCAAATGGAGTTTTAGAGGATTATAAAGAGTATATAAGAAATTTACCATTGAATGATTAAACTGAAGTTTTTGGATTACATGACAATGCAGAAATATCATCAGCAATTATTGAAACAAACTTCATAACATCAACTATATTATCATTGCTTCCTAGATCAACTGGAGGTGCTGGATCATCTGCAGAAGATCTTATAAAAGAAAAATGCAAGCAAATTCTGTCTAAATTGCCTAAAAGATTCAATGTAGAAGAGGCTGCTCGTAAACATCCAGTTTAATACAATTAGAGTATGAATACTGTGTTGTAATAAGAATTGATTAGATTCAATAAATTATTATAAGCTGTTACATAATCTTTGATTGATTTAGGCAAGGCAATAGATGGTTTAGTTGTGATGAGTGCAGATCTAGAATAAGTGTTTAATAAAGTATTTGATAATTAAGTCCCTGATGTTTGGCATAAAGTAGCTTATCCTTCACTTAAACCCTTAGGATCTTGGATAAATGATTTTATTGATAGATTGCATTTTATGCAATTATGGATAGATAATGGTGCACCACCAACTTTTTGGGTTTCTGGATTCTTTTTCACATAGTCCTTTTTAACAGGAACACTTTAAAACTTTGCTAGAAAGGTATAATCATAATTAATTGATAGTACTAAATTCCTATTGATACATTATCTTTTGAATTCATTGTGATACCACCTTCATCATAAGAATATGATTTAACTAAGCCTCCTGATGATGGTTGTTATGTTTATGGATTATTCCTTGATGGAGCTAGATGGGATGAAGAAAATAGATGTCTTAATGAGAGTTTACCAAAAATTCTACAATATTCAGTTCCCTATCTCTGGCTATTACCAAGTGAAGAAAAGAAGGATTGGGATGCTGATACATCTGTAAAATATTATCATTTAGTTTTCATTAGGTTTATGAATGCCCTGTTTATAAGACTTCTAGAAGAGCAGGAACACTTTCAACTACTGGTCACTCTACCAATTTTGTTATTTCTGTGTATTTACCTATTTCACCTGATCATCATCCCTATCATTGGGTCAAAAGAGGTGTGGCAATATTATGCTAGACAGATGATTGAATAATATTTTGAATAATATAAATTAATTAATTAAACTTAATTATTTATGGAAGAATAAACTTAAGAACGTTTATCCTTATTATAAGAAATCTTAGCCCTTGATGATGTCCCTAAAATTATCAAAAAGCTAAACAAAAATGGATTTTCTTGTTCTGAGCTATTATAATAATTAGTTGAGACCAACCATAATCAAGGAATTTAAATATTACAATCTTACTCAAATAATTTCACAGAATTAAAAGGCAAATCATTTGTAGCCTTAATCTTATATCTTTCCATTCAAGAACCAAATATTGAAGCTATCTTACAAGCAGATAAATTATTATAGTCCAATTAATATGTTGGCAGCTTTATAAAATATTATGAAAAAGCTATTACTGATGATAGTCCTTTTAGTCAACAAATTGTAAATCATATTATCTAAAACAAAACCAATGTCCCCAATTTCAATCTTGTCTATGATTAATTGTTTCTATTAAGCAAATAAAAAAAACTCAATAATATTTAAGAATTTGAAAACCTCATGAACACCTAAAAAGATGTTGTTTTAATCATTGATAAACCTATTATTAAAATTTTCCCATTAACTCCTAGAATTAAATCTGAATATTTACCAAAGCATTTATAAATTAAGAAAACTCAAAATGCTATTTCCAAATAAGAACAACTAAGAGAAATGTAAAAAAAAAAAATAATGACTAAAAAGAAATTAATGAGAGATTTATATAAAGAATAAAATTAATTGCATAAAATCAAAAAAGATAAAATACTTCATCAACTTGGTAAATAAAAAGACGGATATAAAAAGTATTAATACTTATACTACTTTTAGAGGATTGAGATTACTAGAAGAATAATAAATGGAATTAAAGAAACTCAAAACTATGTAATTAAATATTAAAAGACATAAAAAGAAGTCTTCTAGAAAAGGGGGTAATAAACAATGAAATATTTGTTAATATTATTAATTATGAAAAAATTTCTTTCTGCAATTAAGAATGTGACAGACCCTGAAAAAATGGCTAAATATGGAGCTTAGAAACTTGAAAACCTTGCTGATTATTTAGATCCTAATAATGAAAAACCTTCACAATAAATTCCTTTTATGGTAATAGCCAAAATTAAAATTTATTCTAGATCACCAGATAAATGAAGAATGAGCTTATTTAATTAGGATACAATTTTGATGATATTAAAAAAATGACTCCAACTTATGCCAGTAATCTACTTTAAAATCAAATTAAAAAATAGAAGTGATTAATGATATTCTCACATTAAAAAATATTGATTTTTTTGCTTTAATAATCTAGGTTCAAATGAAACTTTTTTTTAATAACTTGATTATACTACTTTTGGTACAGATTTATGAGATCTTGATTTACTAGTCTTAAGTATGCTTCTTATTGTTTATGTATCAGATACAGTCTAATTTTTATTCAAAATAACTGAGTATTCATCAAATTATTCAGGATGATTTGAATTTTAAGTAACACTTCTTCTCATTATCAGACATTTACCTTCTAATTATTTCTCCTAGTGAAACTCTTATAATTCTTGTTCCTTAGTAATTTATAAATCTTAAGTCTTCTGATATTGCTAATCCTCGAGTGGAAGAGTGGAAATGGCTTTTAATTCTTAACTTTTTTTTTTAGCAATCTCTTTAACATTAAGAATTATTTCTAAATAATTCATTTCATAAGTTTCTTCCATCATATTTGAATGAGAATGAGGTTTTGCTAAAGGGTATTACTTATTAGGTTGAAATTTCATTATTTTATTAATTATCGGATATTTTAGGTTCCCATCATATTGAGATTATTTTTTAATTGAAACAGATCCCATTATGAGAAATTATAAATTTTTAATTCTTATCATTTTATAAATGAAAAATTCCTTTTGGTTTAAATAAAAGAAAATATCCTTCTCAATTTTTATAGAGGTATCTATTAAATTTAGAATTCTAGTCTGCTATTATTAAGATTTAATCAACAAAGTAAACTATTCCAAAAAAAATTATTTAAAATTGTTAAAAAATTCTCAATAACTTCATTTTAATTAAAAAATGAATGAAAATTTAAATCTTCTAAACTGGATTAAGCTTAATTTCTAACTATTTTCAAAACAGAATTTATCTTTATAATTAAGCGTTATTGTATAATGATGAACTAAAATAATTATTTCATCGAAAAATAAATTGCACTACATTTTTTTATCTGTTAAAAAAGTTTTATGAGATCATGTATTAAATTATAATGTGTTAAGCTAATTCAATATATTATAATATTGTTATTTCTTTAGAGAATAATATCACATTTTTTAATAAAATCGCTATCTATAATTAGATTGAAACTTTATCTTATTTTTTAATTAATCATTCTTAAATTAATTAAAAATTTAATATAAAAATAAAGCCATGAGTGATCATGAGGATCAATAAAATGTGTAGCAAGAAGAAACAGCATCAAATCCACCTAAATTTGAAGACTATTCTGATGTATAAAAAAAGAAAATATCTAGATTGATAAAACTCAAATTCCTAGTTTTGAAAAGAATGCAGGAACAGAATGTTTTAAGAAAGGTGATTATTTTGAAGCAATACGTCATTATTCGAAAGTACAATTTTTTTACATATTTAAGGCAGTAATGGCGTATTAATTTTTAATACAGGATGGAGTAGTGAATGATCCAGAAGAAATGAAAAAGATTACATAAGAAATATACGTATAATAAAATTTATACATCTATTAGCTTCCCTGTAGTCTCAATTTATCTCTATGTTATATCAAATAAAAGGAATATTAAATGGGAAAGGACTTTGCAAATAAAGCATTAGAAGTTGAAGCTAATAATTTAAAAGGTTTATATAGGAGAGGAATTTGTTTAATGAATTTATAAGAAGTAAGAAATAATTCTAGAAAAGTTTAAAGCAGCTGGAGAGGATTTTAAAAGAGTTTTAGATATTGAACCAAATAATGAAGATGCAAAATAAGCTTGGGAACAATTATTAAAAAAGAAAGAATAAATAAAACAAAGATAAAAGGCAATAAGCGAAAAAATGTTAAATAGTTTGAATTATGAGGATAAAATTGAGACACAAAAAAAAAATGTTAAAAAAAATTGGTTTAAAGAGAAATATGATTGGTTAAAATCAATATTGTGTGTTAGAAAAAAGGGAAAAATAAATTGAGGATAAGTTTTTGAGTAATAAATTATAATTTTTTAATTATGTAAGTGTTTTAATTTGGATTTGATATATTAATAATCTGATTATTTGAATGTTGTCATTCATAATTTTATTAAAGTATTTATAAAATATATGTTTAAGACATTAGTGAATTGGTTTAGAGAGTTGTTTTTTGGAAAAGAGTTAGAAATAGCCTTAGTTGGATTATAGAATGCAGGGAAAACTACTTTGGTGAATACTATGTCTACAGGAAAGTTTGAAGAAGACACTATTCCAACAATAGGATTTAATTTTCGATCTGTTAAGAAAGGGAAAGTAAAAATGAAGATGTGGGATGTTGGGGGATAGGCTAGATTTAGAGAATAATGGGAAAAATATTGTAGATCAGCAGATGTCATAATTTTTGTTGTTGATGCACAAGATTAAGGAAATTTAGATATTGCTAGATAATAACTTAATTAACTAATATCTTGGCCTAGTCTAGAGGGTATACCACTATTAGTATTAGGAAATAAACATGATCTTTAAGGATGGTAACGTCAATCTCTATATTTATAGTATTACGGAATAGGAACTTATTACACAAATGAATTTAAATTAAATAAAAGATAGATGTGTTGCATGCTTTAGTATATCTGCCAAAAAAAATACAAACATTGATGAAATGTTAAAATGGCTTTCAAAACTCGAGAGAAAAAATAAATGATAATAATATGTGTTAATCTATATTTATTATTCATTAAATCTCTTTTATCTATATATTCATTCTTTGAAAACTATTTACATTTATCTAAGAAAAAACAAAATTAAAATGTTTTCTCTTCTAATTTAGAATATTTGTAAATAGGGATAGCTTTTATTTTTTATAATTATCATTAAAATGCTTAAAGTTTTTATCTAAAAATATTTATAAACTTTATTTTTATATTCTAATTGAAATAAATTTTAAAAGCATCTTTATATACTCTTAACTCATAATTATAAATACATAATTCAAAATGATCTAAAATTTTAATCCAACTTTAAAGCGTGTTTATCTTATGCCAAATAGATAATAAAATATATTTTTATATTATATTGTATTTTTTAATGTTCTTAATATTATTCTCTTTAGTTTATTCTAAAAGAACTACAAACCCATAACTTCAATATCAATTTGAACAAATTTCTTAAACCAATTATACACATAATATCAATTCAACATTATTACTTTAATATAATGAGTAATATATGATTATTATTATTTAAGCTATCCAGGAGTGTATAGTATGGAATTGGGTGAAATTGTAGATGGAGAATATGTTGAAATCTAATAAAGCTTAAGTTTAGATCCCTTTACTTTACCAGGATGCCATCATTATAATAGAAAATTGATATATAAGCAATTAGCTTATCAAAAGATTGATTCAGATGAACAAGTTTTTACAAATATGTATATTGACAATAATTTTGTATTTGCGACCAGAAGTGATAATTCATTATGGCAATTTGAAATCTAACTTGATGAAAAGAATAGAAAGATCATAGGTTTAGAATTGAAAAGAACTCATAAAAATGTTGGTTTTAGCTAATAACATTAGATTATCTGTTATAATTAGATATGCTTAATATTTGGAGAGGAAGGTTAAACCTTTCTTTACAAAGACAACAATTTTATTTCAATCAACCTAACATAGATTATTGGTGAATTTAGAGAATTTCCTTAAGATATTTATTTTGATGAGAAATCAAAAGCAATTTATATTTGTTATGGCAATTAATTCATAGATGTGCTTCAATTTACAAATAATAGTTCAATTGAAAAAGTGTAAACAATAATGAGTGGAGAGAAAATTGTATAAGTTCGAACTAACACAAAAAGCACAATTCTTTATTTACTTGATTAGAATATTGGATTGATCTCTTATTATATTGATTCAATTTTAGAATATAGATTAACTTCATTTTAGATTACTTTGTAGAATAGTGTTGCATTTGATTTCTATGAAAACACTTTCTTTATAGTGGCTTAAACCTACAATCAAATTCCTTATGCTTTAGAAGTCTTATAATATGAGGATATTTACTATTTCAATAAAATTTATTCAAAAGATATAGATATATATGATGTATTGGTAGGTGAATACTTTGCCATTCTCATAAGTGTAGGGACTCNGCGTGTTTATCTTATGCCAAATAGATAATAAAATATATTTTTATATTATATTGTATTTTTTAATGTTCTTAATATTATTCTCTTTAGTTTATTCTAAAAGAACTACAAACCCATAACTTCAATATCAATTTGAACAAATTTCTTAAACCAATTATACACATAATATCAATTCAACATTATTACTTTAATATAATGAGTAATATATGATTATTATTATTTAAGCTATCCAGGAGTGTATAGTATGGAATTGGGTGAAATTGTAGATGGAGAATATGTTGAAATCTAATAAAGCTTAAGTTTAGATCCCTTTACTTTACCAGGATGCCATCATTATAATAGAAAATTGATATATAAGCAATTAGCTTATCAAAAGATTGATTCAGATGAACAAGTTTTTACAAATATGTATATTGACAATAATTTTGTATTTGCGACCAGAAGTGATAATTCATTATGGCAATTTGAAATCTAACTTGATGAAAAGAATAGAAAGATCATAGGTTTAGAATTGAAAAGAACTCATAAAAATGTTGGTTTTAGCTAATAACATTAGATTATCTGTTATAATTAGATATGCTTAATATTTGGAGAGGAAGGTTAAACCTTTCTTTACAAAGACAACAATTTTATTTCAATCAACCTAACATAGATTATTGGTGAATTTAGAGAATTTCCTTAAGATATTTATTTTGATGAGAAATCAAAAGCAATTTATATTTGTTATGGCAATTAATTCATAGATGTGCTTCAATTTACAAATAATAGTTCAATTGAAAAAGTGTAAACAATAATGAGTGGAGAGAAAATTGTATAAGTTCGAACTAACACAAAAAGCACAATTCTTTATTTACTTGATTAGAATATTGGATTGATCTCTTATTATATTGATTCAATTTTAGAATATAGATTAACTTCATTTTAGATTACTTTGTAGAATAGTGTTGCATTTGATTTCTATGAAAACACTTTCTTTATAGTGGCTTAAACCTACAATCAAATTCCTTATGCTTTAGAAGTCTTATAATATGAGGATATTTACTATTTCAATAAAATTTATTCAAAAGATATAGATATATATGATGTATTGGTAGGTGAATACTTTGCCATTCTCATAAGTGTAGGGACTCATAGAATTATTTATCATTCAATATTTTAATAATTTGTTGAATAAAGTGATATTCCATAATTTTTTGAAGCAATTAATCTTTTTAAAGTTGAAGAATTTAGAAAATGGGAAAATAATTTATTTAATTAGGAAGCTATAGATTAAGAACCATTTTAAAGTATTCCCATATATTATAAATAATCACTAATGATAGGAATATTTTAAAATTAATTATCAATTTTTTCTGTGAAATCATTATTACCAAGGTTGTAATGCAAACCTACAAGTTTGAATTCTACATAATATAGTTTAAAAATGTTATCAACATCATGTTTATTTAAGTAAAAAGAAAATGATTATACAGCATTTAAATAGTGTATTGTATATCATAATTTCACTATCACAGGGAAAGAAATTTAATTCTATGAAGATGATCAATCAAAATATTATATTATTGGAAATTTGTTCATGTAAATTTTTATTTATTGTTAAAGTGGAATTGGAATTTTTCTAATTCTTTTTTGTATAGCAGCCATTTTATATTAGAATTACAGAATTAATAAACTAAAAAACCATATTTAATTAAATGAATTATAAGAAGTAGAAAATATTTAGGTCCAAAATCCTGGAAATTGATTATTTATTTATAATTTTTTAATATTTTAATGGGTAATTAATGCAAAGGGTCTAAAGAAAGTAATACTATGGAATATAAATCAAATTTAAATTTGATTGAATTTATTTATGAGTTAATATAAAAGTTAATAGAATCATAAGAATACACAGAAAATGTAGAAGAACTCAAAAAATTGCTAATTTTTGTCGAATCTATTGATTAAATTTAACAAGCTCAATTTCTTGAAAATGATCATTTTATAGCTCTTTAAAAGATCAAATAACGATCAAAAAATGGTTAGAAGAAAATTTAAGAAAAAATAAAAGAATTAGGATTAATTAACCTTTAAGAATCATAATTAATTCTAAATGAATATAACTTGAGCAATTTATAATTTTAAGACCTGTACAATAGTATAAACACTTTAGAGTACTAAATGTCCCCAATAATAGAACATAGCATAGTGTTAAAAAACAAATAAACTTATGCAGATAACAAAGAAATAGTTTGTGAAAAACAACTTTATTAGATGTTTACAAAAATTTGCAATAAAAAATTTATCATTTTCTAATTAATTGTAATAAATTAAAACAAAATTAGGACTTCTGGATTACTGAAATTAAATCAAAAAATCTAAAATTAATTATAACAATAGCCTCTTTAATTATTAATGAAATTTATAGTGTAATCAAATAAATTAAAATACCTGAAAAAATTTTTGAGATTCTAATTATATGGATGGTTTAAGTAATCGTATTTAATATTTCTAAACCAATTAATGAATTGAAAAAACCTGAACATTTACTTGATTTTATATTTTATTACAAATGTCCTATTGAAAAAATGATGATCTTGTTCGCATAATAAAAGCTTTTAAAAATATAATATGTAATTAGGGATACAGATGATTTAGCTGATAGGATAGATGAAACTCTTAAAAAATATCCAAGAGCAAGTTTATTAAAATCAGAAACTCAATGTATTTTAGATTATGTTCATGAAAATTGGTTTGTTTCTCTCTATTATACAGTAAGAATATGGCATGTGATTTCAAACAGATTTTGATAATTCATAATTTTATAAATTATATATGAATAATACTAGAGTGTTTAAATTTTGTTTGAAAGCTTTTATTGAAAGAGTAGTAATAGCAATCAACTTTCCTTGTAAACTTTAAGTAGCTTGGAAGAGAGGTAATTAAAAATTAGAAACAAAGTAATCTGATTTGAATGTTAATGTTGCTAATTTTAATGAATAATTAGAAATGAATTCGAATTTATATTTTGAAGATAATCGATTCAAAGAAAAGAAATGTGCATTTACAGTTACACTTCTATCATAAAAGGGTAATAAGGTAGCAGGATAAGTTTCTATGGATATTTCCTCTTATTTGAATAGAAAAGTAGAAACCTTTAGAGAAGAACTAAGATTGGAAAAATGCCCTGATAAACATGCTAAAATACATATTAGATTTTAATTTATTTGTATAGAAGAATTGGACATTGATTAATTGAGTAGAATTTCATTCGCTTCTAATGTTGATCAAGAAGATTAATAAAATACTATTTCTAATACAGCTTCTTAAAAAATACAGGTTCAATAAGGAAATAACAATAATTAATAATTAACCTTATAAAATAATTATCAATATACAGAATAAGATTTAGATGAAATACGAACATTATTAAATTAAGAAATGAAGAAAGTCTAATAGAAAGATAATTAAATATCATAGTTGATGCAGAGTCTTGAAACAAAGTAAGAATAGTTAACTGATACAAAATAACAATTAGAAGCTGCAAAGTAGAAATTGTATGAGACATTGGACAAATTATAAAATTTTGAAGAATCTGTTCAAGGTCAAGATAATTTAAAAAAAAGTTCGGACAATAAAATAAAAGAGTTAGAGATTTAAAATAAATAATTACAATAAAAGATTATTGAATTTAGTGAATAATTAAAAATAAAACAATAATAAGTAGTTTAATCTGATTAAAAGTTATCAAATGCTCTTGGATAAATGTAAGTTATGAAATAAAGAATAAGCTAATATGAAGAATCAGAATTATAGGAATAAAATAGAAAATCAATTGGAAATAATAAAGATATGGAATTGATGTAAAAAAAAATAAATGATTTAGAAAAATAAATTTAAAGAGAATAAAAGAAATAAGAATAAGATTATGGATTATATTAAGTACAATTAAAAAATTTATAGGCTTAATTAAATGAAAAGGAAGAGTTGATAAATAAATTATCAAAAGACAAAGATTTGGATAATAAAGATGCTTCATAAATCTAATAATTATAAAAATAAATATAACAGTATTAATAAAAAGAAGAATAATTCAATAAGTAATAAAAGTAATTATTATTTTTAGAGTATTAAATTAATATAAAGACTAAATTTAAAAAGCAAATCAAAATGAAAAAAAAATAAAATAATAATAAAAAGAAGAGTTAGAGAATTATAGTGATCAGATAATAAAATTGAAATGTTAATTAGGAGATATATTTAATACAGCATATGATATTGGTGGTAATAAACTTGTGGATCGTTTATAATAAGCAGTTGGTCTGTCATGATTGATTAATATTTTATAAATAAATAATAATGGATAATACACTATTATAAAGAAAAGTATTTCGACTTTAAAATTTGAAAAATATAATTAGAGCAATTCCAAAAAATAATATTTTATAACAATTAGTCGGATCTATAACTACTATTAAGAGAAGGATAAAATAATTGTATTTCAAAGAATTAAAAGGAAATCGAGCTTTAAATTAAATAACTAAAATCGAAATTACAGAATTATAAAAATAACAAATTAAAGATACCTAAAAAACTGAGAATAATAGTAGACAATAAAATATTAAGAAACTATAAGTGAAATTCAAGGTTTCTCATAAAATGATAAAAAATGATAGTGATGAAACATATATTTAATTATTGATTCATTATATTCTATTGATTTGATTATATTAAATGGTTAAAGAATCTAGCAATGTTATACAATATAAGATCTTAAAGTAAGCAATTATGAAATTATTATTACTTAGATAATATGTACAATATATATTTGATATCAATTGATAATAATTCAAGTTAAAGTTTTACTGTTAATGTAAAACCTTTGGGATCTAATTAATCCATTCGTTTAAAGTCAATTAAATATTTACATACTTTGAATTTAAAGGGAGAATTTACAAAATAAGATATGATTATAAGGTTGGTCAATTTAGCAGAGCTAAGAATATTCTTTCATAAATTCTAGTTACAAAATTTATAAGAAGTTATTACATAAACTCATTTATTTATAAATTCAGCCTTATATATTTATCTTCAAATTAAATTTAATTAGATATCAGCTTTATTCAAAAGTTATTCTATCTTTACTATTTATACTTGTAGATAATCTAATCTATTATGTATAAAGCAAACGAAAGAGCAATATAAGTAGAAATGTAAAAATTAGAATTTTGTATAATATTTATAAAAAATCAAGACTTTATAAGACGCCTATGTGATAATTAAAAAGTAATATAAAAACAAAGAAATTTTACCAGCAATCAAAGAACTTTTGATTTATAATGATTTTTCCATTATAAGCAAAGATTTCTAATAAATATATTCATCAGAATAAGAGTTGTCAGAAATTTATAAGGAGTTACTAAATAAAATATAATATCTTGAGGATTTGCTTATAGATACCTATACTTCAAAATGCAATTTAAAGTCTTAGTTTGACATAAATATTGATAATGTTAAATCATTGTGGAAAAGAGACTTTTCGGAACTTATTTATATATTTTAAAATGAATTAAAAATGAATTAAAAATAAATTTATTTATTTTAGGAAACATTTTTTATCTTAAACCTCTATAGCATAGGCTTATGTTATCACATAGGCAACCAGTTAAAAAAATATATTACTTTATAAATCGTAAACTAAAGTAATTTAAGAAGATTAATTTTATGATTATAAAAAATCAAATTTTAATTGACAAGGTTATTGACATTTTTCGTTTTGACTAAGAGGATAATAGGCCATTATAGTGTAATAAAGATAATTATAAAAGTATTCTTGTAAAAATTGGATATTCTAAGTCAACACATAGGATTATTGATGCCAAACATTAAACTTATCTATTTTGATTAAGTAGGTTAAAGTTTTGATTGTGAAAAGCAAGTTTATTTATTTCTGAAAGGAAAATTGAGTGTTGATAGTATTCTAATTTTAGAAAGTTTTTAAATTCTGAAGCCTACAATAATGCGTATTGTTTATCACTATTAAGTAACTTTTAGCAGAATACTTTATAATCAAATTGTTTAAATGAATAGATAGAAGGAAATTGAAGCTAAATTAACCTATTTGATTCAATTCTCATTTTTTTCTTGTATTTATTTAAGTTCAATCTATGCTATTCTTGATTAAATTCCACTTAAAACTTATTAATATAAAACTAATCTTAGCATTATTTTACCTGGAATTGTTTGCATAATAAAATAAGGGTATCAATTTCTTATCAAAATAGATCAGTTGTACTCCAGTCTGTTAAAGGACCTATTCACAAATAATTGTACTAATTTTTAATATAGTAGTTCAATAATAACAGAAAAAGATCTTTTTGGAGAGGCACATTTTATAGATGAAGATAATAAAATAAATTTAAAATAGTTTTAATTTAATTAAAATTACTATGAGGCCATTTGTAACTCTTAAGAAGTAGAATTATATTTAATAAATGTATCTGAAATAATTCATTCTCTGAATTCTTAATAATTAAAAGTAAATTAAAATTTAATTTTTAGTTATATCTATAAAAAAAGTTTAAACAAAGAATATCACAGTTAAATTAAAATATAGAATAAAATCAATCATTTTCAAAACCTCTGTAATAATAACAATAATAACTATCTTAAAAAAGATTAAGAACAAAAACTATAGGTTCAGATTCATAATATGAAAATTTAAAATAAAAAGAATCAGCAGCCATAGATAAAGTTAAAGAAGTTGTAAGAAATATGAATTTTTCATATTCAAGAACAAGAAATTATTTTGCCTCAAAATTAGGAGCTTAAAATATTTTATTTCATAAGGCTTTTATGTATTAATATACTCCATACAATATTAAAAAGTAAAGATAATCATCCTTATCTTCTGCAATCAAACAAAAGTTAAGCTAAAGAACAGAAAGATGCAAGACTATGTCTAATATAGAAATTAGAACAATATTTTTATAAAATTGTTTTTAAAAAGGCCATTAAGAGTAAAAGGAAAAATAATCCAAATAAAATATATTTGATTGATAGAATATGCCTGAATGTTTATCTTTAAATTATTAAAAATAAATAATAGGTTTCATATTGCCTTTTTTAGAAATTAATCAACAGTTTCAATATTAGGTTTTTATTCTAAAAATAAATTTTTCTCTGAAAGCTTTTCATTTTTAATTTTGGATAAAGGAGGTTTATTGATTAGTTATACTTAATTTTCTGGTGATTCTGAGGTTGATTTTTTTATTTCTTCAATTTTTACTGTCTTTTTTTGAACAGTCTAATTTTTAATTCTTTTAAGATTTGATTTTTTTTTGACTTCTTCAGTTTTGATTTGAGTTTAAATAATTGGTTATTAAAGCGATTCAGTTTTAATATTTAGACTATAATTTGATAAATTAATTTAATGAATTTATTAAGCTTAATTATCTGAATTATCTTAATTATTTTAATGAACTTGATGTTAAAACTTATTATTCTTTTTAACTTAATCATCAGATTGTTTTAAATCATAATGTCTTTAAACTCTTAATGATAGATCTGTTTATATTTTTTAAGGATAATTCGGGATAAACTGATTATTTTAATAAGAAGATTTAACCAATAAGTCCTATTTCTTTTACCATTCTTCTACTTTTCTATATGATTACTATTTAAAATGATATTATGGAACTTAATTCATAGGTCTGGGAGTAAAGGAATTTTGAGTGTGAATGACATTACTGTTTGAAATATTTCTAGAATTAGTGACGCCTTGTTTGAAAATAGAAAAAGAGTTTTAAGTATGGTTGTTCACAAATCTTGTGAATATGAATCATATATGATACAAGACATCCTATTAGATCATATTTTGATATATTTGGTTTGGATTCATGTTTGATATTAATAATAAAAATAATTATAATTGATCAGATTTTCCAGTTATTTTACTTTCCCCATTTTTTTATAATGGTAATTATGTATTCAACCTAAGGATTTTCACCAAGAGTCGTTAATAGATTCATGACTTCAAGAAGCTAATCTAAAGTGGCTTTAGATGCAATAACCATTTAAAATACTCCAACAACAGATCCTTTAAGTGCATCTTCGTATTCATGATCTGAATCTAATCTTGCTAAAATATCAAAAGCTCTAGCAGCATAATAAAAGTGACCCATTTTATAGCAATCATTTGCTATGAGTTACAGAATTTAAAATGACTCAGAAGAGGGATCCATATTTAAATATAATTCCCAAGCTTCTCTATTAATGAATTACAAGAATATACTTAGGTTTTCCATTCATAATGAAAGTTCTAGTAGTCCACTTTAAATAGCAATCATCAGACTATTTATTTAATATTGAATACTCTATATTTCTCAGCTTAAATAGCAACAAATGCCTCTTCGGCTTCTTTATAATCTCCAACTCCAGCACAAGCAATTCCATAATTCCAATTAAAATCATCATCATTCGAGAAATAGTTCTTTATTGATTTAAGATAGACTAAGACATCCTCAAATTATTTGCATAAAAAGAAACAAGAAGACATACACTATCGTCCTGGAATAGTATCACATTCACTAGCAGACGATCCTACCAATTAAAATAATTATTAAGCAGTTTTTAATGCTTCTTTTTAATCTGGATTTGATTATCCTTTCATTGTATATACAATTGCTTTTAATATATATTCTTTAGGTGAAGTAGGTTAGATATCTTTAACAAGATTAAAAGCTTCTTACACTTCATCATTTTTTAAATAGTAGATAACTAAATTTAATTTTGCTTCAGGAAAGATTTCAAGTAGAGGAGGTAATGTTTATAATGCATTTTCTCCTCCTCTCATTACAACTAAATTATGTCTTAATAAATCGTTATCAGCAAATACGTTTCCTCCATCGTATGCTTATTACAAAGGTTTCATTATTTCTTCAGCTGCCTTACCACTATACAAAGAAAATTGGTTGCATGCTTTTAAATTAACTGCTGTTACACTTGTAGGATACTGATTCAAATATGATTGCAATATTTCTATCGATACATCAAAATATTCCATTTTATAATAACACAATGCTACATATACATTAATTGCAGTAAATTCTCTATTCTCTAATAATAACTTTTTATATGCATCTGTTGCCTAAAGTTTTATTTTTTCATTTTTACTTCCTCATAATGTCCTCGTAAATAATGAATTGCAGCTAGGCATAATTAATCATGAACATTATCAGAGATTTTATGATGATAAGTCATTAAATTCTTCTCATCATTCTTCTTATGTGCAATATGAAATTATCTTTATATCTCAAATTGTATACAATCTGACAGCCAAAGGAGTTTCTGGTCCTTTTGAGCATTCTCTTTTTGAATCTTCATATTAACAAAGTGCATAATAGCAACAAGCCTTATATACATGAATCTCTTTATTATAATCTGTTTTGCTCATCATTTAATCATAGACTTAAATAGCTTTTCTTTTGAATTTATAAATAAATTCATACTTGTAATCTCCGTTATGAAAATATGCATATGCAAGCCATAACTTAGGTTCAGCACGTGAATCGTTAAAACTTATTTTTCTTAATATTATTTACTTTTATTCATTCTCCAATAAAGCAACTGCTCCAATCCAATCTCTATTTTTTACATAATCTTCTAATGTTGGCATTTTTTATTCAACTACTTTTACAGCCAAACCTCCACCTAATGGAGCAGATATTTTCGTTTGCTTTGCTTTACTCATAGATGACCCTGGACGTATCATTAACTTCTTTATTAAATAATTTAAATAAATATTTTTTATATATTTAAGTTGCTAAATTTCATATTATCATATATTCATTATTTTCTATTTAAATACTATGTCAGAATTAATCAATAAATGTGGAAAATTTAATTACTTTTTTTATATTTGTACTTTTATAATTTAAGTTTATTAAAGAATATTAAGAAAAACCAATTTTTATCTTTTTAAAGTGATTGTTATAGTAATTAATATAAACTTAATAATTCTTAAGAGAAGATGTAAGGAAAATTTTAGGGTATGCTCTAAAGATCAGAAGAAAAAAAATAAAGAATCATTTAAAAAATAGAATACACAAAAGAACAATAGTAGTTAAGCATTGAAAAGAATAATCAAAAAAAAAGTTTAAAGCTCTAAATTAAAATTGATCAATTAGAAGCAGAAATCTAGAAAATTAATAAATCAGATTAAATTGCTAAAGATTATCATCGAGTTTATAATGGTTTATAAAACTAGTTCTAAATTACCCAGAATTAATAAATTGAAAAACTTACATAAGCTCAAAGAAATGAAAATTATAAATTGTTGTGTTCAATAAAAAGATAAGCAATTAATTTGTAAAGTTAAGTTTATAAATAAAAACATATTGATCCTTTGATTTAAATTTGTTTTCATTGCAACGAAGTAATATAAAATTTATTTTTATTAGCTTTTAAAATAATATCTAAAATTTGGTGTTGATTTGTAATTTTAATAAGCAGATATATTTGAGATTGATAACGAAGCAAATCAAAAATTATAAGAAAGAGAAAAGTTAAAAGAAGAAAGAATGTTAGAAAAATATGATAAAAAATAGTATTAAAATAATTAATAACTTTAATCTTAATAAAAATAACAGGATGGTAATAATAAATAAAAAAAGAAAGAGAGGTCTAACAATTCTTAAGAAAGAAAATCTAAATAATAACAATAAGAGAACTAATATGAAACAAAATAATAATTTTAATAAGATTAAGGAGATTAATATTCAAACTTATAGGATAAAAAAAATAAAAATTAATCCAAATAAGAACAAGAAAAAGAATAAGATTCAGATATTATAATGATGCAAAAATTCAATAATTTAAAAATAGAAGATAAAAAATAAGAAAATCAAATAATCAAATAATAAGAAAAACCTTAAGAAACTTAAAAAGGCAAAGATGATTCTAAATTATGTTAGATTTGTTTTGAACTACCTAAAGGATATGTAGCTACTCCTTGTGGCCATTTTGTATATTGTTAGTAATGCAAAAATTTAGCATAAGGATAGTGTTTAATTTGTAGAGAACCTATATAATTAATGATCAAGGTTTTTTAATGAAAATATAATTATAATCATCATCATCAATCTTCATTATTTTATTGAACTGAAATTTTGTAAATGAGGAAGTTTAGTTTTAGCCTCAATTCTTGTATCTTTCATCTTAAGGAATCTTCTTTTATATTTCTTTTGAATGAAACCAAGTTTTTCATAAAATCTTTTCAAATGTGGACAATTATCTCCACATTTAGCATGTACTTATTTCATTTTAACCATATACTCTCTAAATTCTTCTTATGAAATGTTTTCATTACCTAATTATTATATACAAATATACCTTATTTTCCTAAAGCATTTCTAACTTATCTAATAAGTTCTCCCATACCTCCAGATTTATTATTAACCATTTTATTATATAATTTATCTGCTTAATCTTATTCAGGTTCTTCATCATCCAAAGTATCAAGTGATTTTTAAGATTCAGCAGAAGCTGGTCTTTGTTATTGATTTGGAATTTCTTCTTGAACTTCTTGTTATTAAAATTATTATTATGTTAATTGAAGTTTTTATTATTTATTTGTTTTAATTTATTATTTTAAAGATACCCAATTTTTAATTTGTTCAATTTTAGTTTTATCTAATCCTAATTCATATAAATATTATAGAACAGATTCTATAGACATTTTAGTATCACCATAATTTCCATCAGTCTAGGTAGATTTTTAATCAGTACCAATTTTAGTAATTTTGGTTGTTCTAGTTCCATCAGCTGCAATAGTTGTTTCTTCAACAATTAAATTACCATTTTTATCTGCTTTCACTCTTTTAAGAGTTCTTTCAATTTTTCCATCTGCTCCAACTTTAGTTTCTTCAATAAATTCTTCTCCATTTTTATTTTTCTTTTTCTTAACAATAATTTTATTTCCTTATGCATCAATTGTTTCAATTTCTGTGATTACATTTCCATCTTTGTCAACTGTAGTTTTTACAACTGTTTTAGATCCATCTGCATTTGTAGTTACAGTTTCTGTAATTTCAGCACCATCTTTACCTTTTGTCACTTTCGTTTTTACAATTTTTTTATTTCCTTATTCATCTATAATAACTTCTTCTTTTATTTCTGCTCCTCCTTCTCTATATATTTTTCTCTAAACATTTAATTTTTATCCATTCTCATATACTACTTCATTTTCAATCAAATTTCCATCTGCATCTTATTATACATTTTTCTCTTAATTAACAATTGAACCATCTTTATTTTAAATTTATTTTTAAACAGTCTCTCTTCCAAAAGAATCCTTAACTGTTTTAATTACTATTTTTTAACCTGTTTTAGCATCAATTCTTTCTTCTTCAGTAATTATATTACCTTTAGCATCTTTATAAACTTTTTTTTTGACAATCGTGATATTTCCATTAGCATCAACAATTTCTTCTTCTATAGTTTCAGTTCCATCTTAATTCTTCACTTTTCTTTATATTGTTACAGATCCATCAGCATTTTATATTTCAACTTCTTCAATACCATCCTTAATTCTTGTTTTCTTGATTATTTTATTACCTTAAGCATCAAAAGCAACTTCTTCAACT